GTTAATGTTGGTGGTGATCTTTTTATAATGAAGTGTGTTAGAGTATATAAAAACTATTCTTACCACAACCACAAGTTTAAGCTTTCGGGTTAGGAAGTGCACCCTAACTTTATACGCAAGTGATTAGTTTTACCGAATATTCTACTTGTTCTTCACCGCCCACCAAAACCTTGACATGATATCAGAGCCTTGATGACCAAGATGTCACAAGTTCGAAACTCACCACCACCGAGTTAAAAAAATTAGGTTTGTACATGCAAAGCTCAAAATAAAAAAGTCACGCCACATGAGAGGACGTGTTAGAATATATAAAAATTACTCTATGGCAACAACCACAAGATTAAGTTTTTGGGTTAGAAAATGGATCTTACCTTTAAAGGCCAAATAGCTCTGACACCCCCTGTGGTTTGGAAAATTGGCACCAATACCCCCTCTGTTTTCAAAACTTATTTCTAAAATCCCCGTGGTTTCAAAACGTTGCACCCACACCCCCTATGATCATTTTCCGGTCATTTTCCGGCGAAGAGGGGGCATTGACGCATAATTTCTAAACCATAGGTGGCATTCGTGCTCATTTCTTATTTTCGTTTATTATTCTTCCCTTTTTTAATATTTTCTATCTCTTTTTCCTTTTCCTAGATTTTTTAAAAATATATTTTCAATTTTTTATAATGTTTCAAAAATTTTAAAATTCTTTGTGTTTGAAATAAAAATAGAAATAAAAAATTAACATACATTATTACATCTATCTCAATTTAAACAATTTCACTTTTTAATTTGTTACTTAGAGTAATTTTTTGGAAATTTCAAAAAAAAACCCAGAATAAAAAAATAAAATATGGAAAATCGAAATGAAAAAATTAAAATACGGAAAAAAGTCTTATAAAAAAAAATGGAAACGCCTAAAAAAGTCCTTAGAATTGAGATGTCCGAAACGATATTCATTTTTATTTTTGTATTATTTTGTTTCTTATTTTATTCCTCATTTTTTTGAAGTTCTAAAAAAAATTACTTTTTATTCAGAAAAAACAAAATTTGTTAATTTGAGACGTACATATGCATTATATGTTAATTTTTTCAAACAAAAATAACTTTAAATTTTAAGAACATTATAAAAATATTTTTAAAAAACCTTTATTAATAAATGAAACAAAAAAGGAAAAATGGAAAAAAAAATTGCGAGAAATAAAAATCAGCACAGTTACCCCCTATGGTTTAAAAAATATGCACCGATGCCCCCTTCTTTGCCGGAAAAATGGCCGGAAATTGATCAGAGGGGGCATGGGTGCAGCTTTTTAAAACCACGGGGACTTTAGAAATGAGTTTTGAAAACAGAGGGGGTATTGGTGCATGTTTTGCAAACCACGAGGGGTACCGGCGCTATTAGGCCTACCTTTAAATGCAAGCAATTAATTTTACCCGATATTCTATTCATTGTTCTCGGCGCACCATAATTTTAACAATTTGTAGTTGATATTTTTTAAATTTGTGATGTGCTATTATTCTTTAAGTATTTCTTCATTTATAATTATTTGATCGATTGATAGTTGTTACATTGTGAAATTGATCAAAGTTCTGATCTGGATTCATTTGAGAAACTTGAACATGTGATACAAGTTAAGTTTAAATTCAATCGAGCCTCAATTTTCAACTATTATAACTAGTTCATTTCCAAATCTACTTTTTGAAAATGTAGGTAGGAAGTGTATATTTCTTTAAAGTTTATAAGAATTTGAGAAATAAAATTTTAGATTATAACTAAATGTTCAAGAGAATTTAGAGTTTAATCTTTCAAACAACGTGTAAAATCTTTTTTTTTAATTTAGAAATAGAAACACATGAGTTAAATTTTCTTGATCCACCTCTGAGAGTAAATGTTTATGTACTTGTATAAAAGTGTAGTTAGATTTTAATTTTTTGCTTAGTTCATTTGACAAATTGTAATTTGTAATGTACGGGAATCCTCTACACTTGACAACTTCAGTGTTAAATTTTAAACTCTAGAGTCTATTGGAAAAATTATCTCAAATAATCTCACATTTTCCTGCTCTTTCAAAAATAATTCCAATTTTCACTCTCACCAGAAATAATTCCACCTTTTCGCATATGTGCGAGCTTTAGGTCGCAGTTAAAAAACTAACGGTCACTTAACGGAAATTTTGAAAAATGCCCATTTTTTCACAAATAAATGAAAAGTGAAATTATTTTAGGTAAATTCTCCCTTTTTCGTTTTTTAATTTCTAACTTTAAATTTAAATGTATTTTTATTTTATTTTTTTGGGAAAAAATACCAAATTTAAGTGTCTTTAGAGTGAAACTAATTGTTTTTTCAATAACCAATAATATGGTAATAATTAGAAAAAAAATTATTCTACACAATAGAGCTAATTTATTAACTTTATAACTAACTACATTTTTTTGTAAGTTGCATTTACTGTATTTTTCTTGAGCTGCACTTCAAATTATTTTTTGATATTATATTATTATTATTTCATAAAAAATGGCACTATAAAACTTATGAATATTTTTCGATAGTTCTATATAAATATTTTTTGTGAAACAACATTACAATAGTTGTGAAAATAACACAACAATGTTTTCTCTAAAATAGAACTTTTTTTATAATTCACTACATTTTCTGATGAATTACAATTTTTTCATGAACACTCTGAAATATTTATTGATAATTTTATATTTCCTATAAAATTTTCTTTCTAAAATGGAACTACCCAATTTGTGATTTTTTTATAATTCAATACAAATTTCCCCCAAAATAGTAATTCAAAAGTTGTGAAACTGACACAATATTTTTTTCTCCGAAACGGCACCCATAAGTTTTATAAATCACTACAATTTTTTTATTGTAATTTATTTCTTGATCGATACTATGAATTATTTTTGATAGTTCAACATTATATTTTTCCAAAACAGATAACAAAATTTGTTAATCGTTTGACAAATCTCTAACAAGAGTGTATTGTTATATTTTTAAAAATATTAATTTTAAATTTAAAATTAAAAAAGTAAAAAGTAATTTTTCTTAAAATAATCCCATCTTTCATTTATTTGTGAAAAACAAGCATTTTCTAAAACTTTCGTTAAGTGGCCGTTAGTTTTTTAACGGCGATCCAAAACTCGCACACATGCGAAAAGGTGAGATTCTTTTCAGTGACAGTGAGAAGTGAGATTATTTTTGAAAAAACGTGAAAAGGTAGGATTATTTGAGATAATTTTTCTTTTAGTATATTGAAATTTTGAATAATTTGATAATATGGATTACTGTAGTTTATAATTTTACATTTTAGGGAGTGTATTCAATCTGGATTTTGATAGATTTTTTTGGATTCTGAAAATCCGTAGGTATTCAATTCAGAATTTAAAAAGTTATTTAAAACCTGGTTGTATTCAACTCAATTTTAAATCAAAAGCCCTGGGATTTTCCATACTACTCCAATTCTCTTCTTCCGCACGCACGAACTTCTCCATCTTCTCCATCTTCAATCCCATCAATCCTTTTCTCCATCTTCAAGGTAAGGTCTTCACTATTGTTTAACAATTTGATTGGTTCCCCTGAATTTCTCGTTCTAACACTATCTTATGCTATTCTTGATTGTTCTCTCAAGAACCCTAGGATTTGTGCTCTTAGTTTTGTTTAAGAAATCCAAGTACAATGCTAAATTAAATAAAAAGCAAAAAACCAGTTCATGAACCGGTGCTATCTCCTTACATTTTACTACGTAGTTTTGTTTAATAATGACCCGACATTGTTCCGAATAGACCAATCTGGTATCAAATTAAAAAATGAGTTTTCAAATGTACTTTATAAATTTTTATCCAAACCAAATTGAACCGTAACGTATTCAAAATACTACAGGATGACTTTGCAAAAATGAGAACAAAAAATTCTATATCAAACCATTATTACTGAAGTGCTAAATTAATCAACTAATTTTACATTTTTGGTGGATAGAGTTAAGAACTACAGATATATCCTAATAACATTATGCTCTACATGTGAGATTGTGTGTGTCTAAAATTATGTTTGGTTCAAGAAATTTGAAAGAGAAAATAAAAAAGAAGAAAAATATTTTTATTTGTTTGGTCAATTAGGAAAAAAAAGAAAATAAAATAAGAAGACAAATAAATTAAAGCTCTATTCTTTGGGGTTGGAAAAATTAGCTTCCAATATCTCCCAACAAAGTGCTTGCGTAGTGCACCTTGGGTGCAAACCAATTTTGTGCACCTTCTTACATACTCCTTCCGTCCCATAATGATGGATACATTTTGACTAAAGTAAAAATTAAGGGAGGGATAATTTTGTGTTGACTTTCCAAAAATACCCTTGATGTGATAGGTAAAAGTATGATGTGATGTGTAGATTATTAGGAAAAAGGTATGATGTGATAGGTAGTGTTTGAAAAAGTAAGGGATAAAAATAGTTTTTTAATAAAAATGAGTAAGGGATTGTGGGACGCAATTTTTTTGAAACGTGTAAATCTTTTTGGGACGGAGAGAGTATTTTTTAAAAAATTAAAATAAATGCTCATTTAGATAGTTACAATTTGCTTATTTCCCTTGTATTTAGGTCCACCATAAAATTTGCCCTCCCAGTGGAGTTTTCTTCCAACATTTTCTAGTTCCTTCCAACTCCTTCTGCTTTCTTCTAAAATGATTTTAAAAAAATATTTATATATGACTAATATAAAATAACATTATATATTCAAATTTATAATCTATCAACTCAAACACGTTAAGGATGAATTTTTTTAATCTAAAATTAGAGTTTTCTAATATATTTATTTAGGTGATTATTTTATACTGTACATTTTAATTCTTTTACTCCGTAACATTTTTATAACTCTTTCCAATTTCTTCAATCATTAGCTCCAAAATTACAACTCAAAAGGGTCCACGAGCAAAAAAAAATCAAATAGTCGGATGACATTGCCAATGGCATTATTCTGCCCAGATTCGCATCTACCGAATTCTAACATTCCGACAAGCGACAGCTCCTCCAACCCAAACCAAACCCAGAATTGAATTGAATTGAATGGATGTAACTCCACTCCACTGCCCCCACCCGATATATTCGCCACATTTTTAGGAGGCATATTCCCCCGATTTAAAGAATACTTCCTTCTCCTCCTTCCCCTCATTTTTAACTGTAAAAACCACCAAAAACATTTTCCCCTCTGCCGGAAAACCGGGGTGCCGGTTCTCGGAATTCGGCGCCCTTAGCATAAATTTTGCGATGGCGGTGGATTTATCCGGGAGATCATCAATTCATAATGTGCTGGAGAGAGTCGGGATCAGCCAGAAGCGGTGCAAGTACGAGATCCATGCTCATGATGATGAAGAAGATGGGACAATGGAGATGGTGCAGCTTGGGGCGGAGAGGACCAAAAATGTTCTGATTCTCATGAGCGATACCGGCGGGGGCCACCGTGCCTCCGCAGAGGCCATTCGAGACGCCTTCAATTTGGAATTCGGAGACGAATACAATGTGAGCTCACCTTGAACCTTGAATTGATCCCTCCGTTTGTGTTCTTCTTTTAGCTATCTGAATTAACATGATTGTGTTGATAGGATTAGTTTAGCTGGTTAGTCATTTTAATGTCTTTATGTTTTCTCTTGAGCCAAAGGCCTTCACGAAACTAGAATGTATACCGTACAACCGGCCGTATGTAGAATTAGGTACACCTGGAGAATATTCATTTTGAATCAACAGAATGTTCATTTTTAACCGTAGTGTTCATTCTGAAACATTTTTTTTAATTACAAGTTTGTCATGTACCAGGAGGTATAATTTGCCTTCTGAAAGAATGTGTTTACCTTTTTATGTGGGGTAACATCTGGATACATTCACCTTTTTATGCTTTGTGTGTGTGTGTGTGTTTTGGTTTTTTCAGATTTTTGTGAAGGATGTATGGAAGGAGTACACTGGGTGGCCTCTGAACAACATGGAGCAACAATACAAATTTATGGTAAAACATGTGCAGCTGTGGAGTCTGGCATTTCATGGCACCTCCCCGCGGTGGATACATTCTATATACCTTGCTGCCATTGCTGCCTTCTATGCAAAGTACATATATATATACTTCCATGTACAGATGTATCATCATATGGATCTCTTCTTTGTGTGTATGCATAGGCATAGACTGGCTTTTCTTGCGATTTGCTTATTGGATGCTCACTGTTGAATTGAAGGGAGGTTGAAGCTGGGCTGATGGAATACAAGCCAGACATTATCATTAGTGTTCATCCTCTTATGCAGCACATCCCACTGTGGGTTCTTAAGTGGCAAGGCCTTCAGAAGAAAGTTATTTTCGTTACCATCATTACCGATCTCAACACTTGCCATCGTACATGGTAAATTTTTTTAAACAGATACTGCGCTCAGATCATTTTCATCTATGCGCATTGGAGTTAATGCCGTAATTCTGAATTTTAAAAATATGGTTTTATGGTTAGGTTCCATCCAGGTGTCAATAGGTTGTACTGTCCCTCAGAAAAGGTCGCAAAGAGGGCACTCCTTGACGGTCTGGAAGAATCTCAGATACAAGTTTTCGGGTTACCTATTCGACCCTCTTTCTGCCGTGCAGTTCTCTCTAAGGTGATTCAGCCTATACATTCGCATTTCGGTTTAGTTATTGTTTTTTATGTGCCTATATGTATATATTAGTGTTCTATATGCTGATACGTCTTAATTAGGATGAGCTAAGAGTAGAACTGGAGATGGATCCGATGCTACCAGCAGTTTTGCTGATGGGAGGCGGTGAAGGCATGGGCCCTGTCAAGAAAACAGCAAAGGCCCTTGGAGAAGCATTGTTTGATAAAACAGTTGGGAAACCGATTGGGCAAGTGGTCGTCATATGTGGGCGCAATGAATCTCTTGCCTCCACATTACAAGAACACGAATGGAACATACCTGTTAAGGTAACAACAACATATCTCTGTCTGCTGTTATTTATCCATTTCAAGACCACTCTCGTACTCGTATTCCATGCCAACAACTTTAATGTTTCCTCGTGACACTTCTTCCAAATTAAGCATTCTACAACAACAGCAAAGCCCAATATAGTTTTATTTCAACTTCATTTGGTCAAGATGTACAAAATTTTGCTGGATTTACTACCCAAAACTTCAAAGAAAGTACAAAGCAGAGAAAGTTTAGTGTGTCATTTTGATCTAGTCTGTTATTTACCCGAAGCTAAAACAATGACTATTTTAGCTCCATTGGCAATGGATGCTTCCAAACTAAAGCATTCATTTAGGCCATATTCATCGAATCAAATGTGTAGCAGTTTAGCATGATGGCTGTTGACAAATCTTCATCATATGTAATGTAAGATAAGAGGCTTCGAGAAACAAATGGAGAAGTGGATGGGAGCTTGTGACTGCATTGTAACAAAGGCTGGACCAGGTACAATTGCAGAAGCACTAATCAGAGGGCTCCCCATCATTCTCAACGATTACATTCCTGGCCAAGTTAGTACACTTCACTTCAATTTAGTTACACTTGTGGGATTTTACCAAGTTCCTGTTTACTTCTTCGCCGTTGTAATTTCATGTTTTATTTTTGCACTTCATGCAGGAAAAGGGAAATGTATCGCATGTAGTGGACAGCAATGCTGGTGTTTTCACACGAAACCCAAAGGAAACGGCTAGGATTGTATTGGAATGGTTTAGCACCAAGTGCGATGAGCGACATAGAATGGCTGAGAACGCGCTCAAACTCGCACAACCCAATGCTGTTTTTGACATTGTGAAGGACATCCATGAGCTTGCAGCGCAACGAGGCCCTCTTGCTGACGTCCCTTACACTCTCACATCCTCTTTTTCTAGCTTGATATGATCATGTACACTAGATAGATTCGCATTTTCTTGTTTTTCTACCACTTCCAAGGTTTGTTTGTTGTAGAATAAGATTATGTACAGGACATGTTAATTAATCATCTCATCCTTTGTTAATGGTTGTGATGTTCACCATAAACTCTTTTTTTTTGGGTAAGAGTTGTTCAATTGATATGGCTGAATATGAAAATTTCCTATGTACTAGAAAAGTTTGTTGTAGCCAAATAAATGGCTCAAAAGCTACTTATATTTCAATTATTTGAGTGCAGAATAAAAACATTTGCCAGCTTTCGACTGCTACATGTGCTCTAAAATACTTGGAGCTTTGATGAAGCATATCTATATGTTGTAGGGTATAACCATAATTGCTGTAGGGCAGCTTTGTGTTTATAAATTTAGCTATCATACCTTCCAAAGGACCTGCCTAGCTGTCATAACCTCCGAGGTGTCATAACTCATAACCACCAACTAGCATCACAAAAATTCCCAAATTGCCCTTGACGGCGTAGTCCGACAGCAATGAGGGAGAGAGGATTGTAAGAGTACCAGGATTCGAATCCTGGAAGAGCAGCTATTTCCTCAGTGATGTAAACTTAGGTAATATGTCCTATTTGAGTGTAAGAGCAAGTATCTCCTTTACTACTTGGAATCAAACTCGGCTTTACCTTTCTATGTGTCTGAGAGGGTGGCGTATAGGGTCCAGGAAGAGAGCGCAATCCCGATACCAGATTATTAAAAAAGAATAGAAAAACTCCTAAATTTGTGCACAACAAATTTTCAATGCGGAAGTTTTGTATATATTGCGTATGTAACTATCATTTTTAGAAAGTTTTGTTTGAACCACATACGTCGTACATGATTTAAATGAATTATTTTATCTAAAAAAACCTCATCTTAATGGTCTTAGTTTTGCTCTCGCACATCAACTCCCAAAATCGTAACTTCATCATAATAGATCTAGGTTTTTTTACAGCCTCTTCTCTTTTTTCGGTTCTAATAATAAGATAGATGCTCTTTCTTCTTTTTACAATTTTCTTTATTTTTGCGTTGGTATCGCAGTCGGTCATCATTGCATGGACATTGAATGTTAGGGTCATTGTTCTATTTTTTAAAAAACAAGGATAAAGAGTCAAAGAACAATGTGGGCAATGTCCATAGGGAGTGAACATTGCTTAGGAGTTAGGAGTAAGTTCGTGAACATTGAATTACCACAATGTCACCAGTAAAGGATCGATGGACTTTCGTGGACACAGTGTGAAAATATTAGAATCGCGAAGACAATGAAACTGCAATGGACATTTAATAAAGTAGGCTGCGTGATGCGGCCTTGGGGAGGAGGAAATATAATGACAATAGTTATTTTTATTGAAATCAGACCAGAAATATTTTTAAATACAATTACAATTATATTAGATCAAACTACACTAGATAAGTACCTTAACAAAATTTAAAAATCCAATCAGCTCTAAACAGCAGGGCTGAGAAGTCCAAAACATATAATAACTCCTCACGACCTCATCTTGTCCGGACTGCCGGAAAACACTCCGCTCCCAATTTCGGCATCTTTCTCCAGTTAGATCGCCGGAGTTGTGCGTATGCCATCGTATCCCCGCCTTGTGCGTGAATTCATAGCGATCGGCATTTTCCTTGTCGATTGACGAGAGCAAGGTTTCGTTTAAGAAAAAAATGGTACGTGAATCATTATTTTATTTATCTTTTTTGCGTTTTTTTGTTGCTATTCCTTGATAATTTTCAATTTTCGAATTTTTGACTCGGATGGTTTCCAATTCTAATTCTCAGCTGCTTTCTGAACCTCCTGTTAGAATTAAGGATGAAAAATGATCTGGATCTCACTAAATCTTGATTGTGACTGGATTTGACTGAGAATAGTTCTGTTCGTACTGCTTCAAATGGAACTACACCTTAGGGCTGACTATGGTCATGCTTGACCATTGATGAATCTTTGATCCACAATCATGGTCTCCTGACTCTCCTTTGTTTCTGAGTTATTGTGATTGATTAGATACTCCCTCCGTCCCAAATTATTTGTCACATTTCTATTACCGAGGCAAAATATCAAGTTTTTTCAATTCATTTTATTTTTATATTGGTAAAGAAATAAAAAATAAAAATTACATATCAAAAAACTACATGAAAAGTTCTTCGAAATAAGAGGTGTCAAGAATATTTTATTTTATCAAATAACCAATGAAAACGTAGAAATAAACAAAAGTTCCCGCGACTGTTGAAAAAGCAAATGTGACAAATAATTTGGGACGGAGGAAGTATAATTTTTAGAGAAAGTATACATTTTGTACTTTTGTGTGCTTATAGATAAATCATCAAAGGTACACAACGATTCTGGACTGTATTAATGGAAACAAAAAGAAGCCCAGGGCTTTTCATTAAACAGTACGCGATGTCCATTGCAAAAAGGAGATAACTTGCTTGGGACACTAACAACAACAACAAACCCAACAAAATCAAATTGCAACCCATATTGTTTGGGACACTTTTTTTGAGGAAAAATACGTCAAAATAATGAAATTTAGCTTCTTTTGTTCAGGTAAGACTCTTTTGGGACAATGTATGAGTTCGATAATATGACTCTTTTCTTTTTGATGGAGGGGATATAAGATACGGAGTAGTATTTAATATAAACTCTTTTTTAGAACTCCTATTATTTTTTACCGTATAGAAGTTGCAATTCGATTTTTGCTTAATGTAAGTTATACATTCTGAAATAAGCTCAACCAAATGTACCTTGTTTTTTTTGTGTCATCCTTTGGTTGTTACTATGTTCTTGTCTAGTAATTTTTTACTGCCTTGTAAATTTTATCAAAAGTATGAATACATAGTATATTTTATCAGAAGCGTGCTGCATGCCATACTTCAGAACATGAAAATCTTTTCGAATGACCAGGCTATACACCTTGCCTCTTTACAGTCCCATTCTGTTCCTGCTCATAATTCTGACACATCTCCCTTCAATCCGTTTTGGATGATCCTATAACTACTATTAGCGAGTCTGGTCTTGTACTGTAGCAACTGGCCCAGTTTTGTTTCCACTCCAGCTTATATAAGAAAATTTGATGCCCTGGTTCAGCCGCCCTTGGAATTTTATAAATTCCAATAACTATTTTTGCCTGCAGGTGTACCACTCCAGTTTTGTTGAGGAAGAAGGTATTGCTATAGCTTGTGGATGTCCTTTACTACCACTTAAAAGCCATATAAAGGGACCTGCTCCAGTGTCAGAACAGGGTTAGACTTGCCAAGCCATCATCTTTCCCTTAAAAAAGTGCTAATAATCTTAGAGGATTTTCTCTTGCAGTGATTTTGTTTTTGTGTGTGTGTGTGTGTGTGTGTGTGAGAGAGAGAGAGAGAGAGAGAGAGAGAGAGAGTGTGAGATGATTATAATATGTCTTTTTGATGCAGATAGCACAGATATAATTGATGAAGCCATCACATTCTTTAGGGCGAATGTCTTCTTCAAAAACTTTGATATAAAAAGTTCTGCCGATAAGCTCCTCATCTATTTGACATTATATATAAATGTCGCATTGAAGAGGCTTGAAGGCTGCAGAACATTGGCTGAAGGAACTAAGGCTATAATAAACCTAGGACTTGAAAAGGTTCCTGTACCTGGGGAGTCTGGTTTTCCCTTCCCTGGTTTGTTCAGCTCACCACAATCTCAAAAAGAAGCACGTAAGTGTAAAATTAAGTGTCTACTGTTTGGAGTGTTTGCTGTTGGCAGTGTATACTCATGGCTTCAATTTGTTGTGTTTTCTACTTGTATATTTTTTACTTGTCCTAAAAAATATACGAAGTATTTGATTTCTTGTCACCCCACCTGACCCAAAAAAGAAACATACTCCCTCTGTCCCCAAATAAAAGTTACGGAGGGAATTACGAGGTAAAATGAAATGTTTTTAATTCATTTTTTAAATAGGTATAGAAATAAAAAATAAATAAAACTTGCAATTTTAAAAGCTATGTCAAATGTTCTACAAAACAAGAGCTAACATGACTATTTATTTTACCAAATGATCAATGTAAATACATAAGTGAACAAAAGTTATCGTGACCCTGGAATAGTAATTGTAACTTTTATTTGGGGACATAGGTGCTATTTAGTATCTTGACTAGTGAAAATGTGGCACATGTAGTCCTGAAGTGATTGCCAGTTTTAGCCAAGGCATCACTTTTGAAAAGTTTGAACTTCAATTGAACTGTTTATTGGAAATAGCTCTCTAAGCATATGAGTGGTATGATAATGGAATACTATTTATTCCTTGATATTCTATGATGTACAACATCTCATATTGACCTGTCTTTTGATCTCAGAGCTATTTCGGGATTACCTGAAGCAAATAAGGGAAGAGACAAGCGGGAGATTACTAAGTGTTGCCTACCGGGCGAATGGAACTCCGAACAAATGGTGGTTAGCTTTTTCCAAGAGAAAGTTTATGAACATAACTACTTCTTGAGTCATTCACTGATCTTGTCAATAGTTGCGATAGGCCGTAAGAGTTTCCTTTTCACATTAACTGATTTGTTTTTCTAAATTTTGTTCTTGTTTGTCCATGTGTTTCGTGTAAAAAGCCGAATCCGAGACTTTAACCTAACATTCTTATCATAGTATTGTCAAACACGAGTGAATTGCGTAATATAGTATGTATGTACTATAGTGGTTGCTTTTGGGATCATATACAACTGTCTCTCTTCCATTTACGTTCATCTGCCATTGAATATCTATTTGCACAAGTGTTGTAAAGTGTTCTATGGTAAAACAAAAATTTACTTACACATAATTGTTGTTCTGTTTCTCCCAATGGAGAATGAAAACTTATATTTTTCTAATTGTGATATTGAGAATCACACATTGCAGCATCATGTATAAATTAAATCATGCGGAGTGGCACTTTTTTAACGAGATTGAGATTCGAGTGCGATGAGCGCAAGAAAACGTACATCATGATAATTTTGCAATAAAAGGCTCCTTTTTGAAAAAGAGCAAAAAATACTACTTCCATCTCGTACCTCCATCTCGTATTTATGTTCCACAATTGACTGAGTAGGAAGATTAAGAAAAGTGAAATCATGTGGTTAGATGTGGTGCGCAAAAGAGAGATATACTAACAACCACAAAAGCTTTTCTAAAAGTGGAAAGTGGAACTTGTTTTTGGACTTGTGAAAAAGAAAATGTGACAAGTTAGTGCAAAAATAAAAAGAAAATTTCAAATGAAATGTCACCTACCCTATGCATAGAAGTAGATGCTAGTTTTCAAACAAAGGATAAATCTCACCTCTGAGGATTTCTCAGAACCAGCTGTACGGTCACTGAGAGGAAGTAAATAATGAAGCCTGCTTAGCTATTTGTCTTTTAACATAGTTGACAGAAATCGAACTCGAGAAGTAAGGCACTCATTGTCTTACCAACTGCGCAACACCCACCGACTAGATGCTAGTTTTCATAAAATTATTCGACATAGATCACCCATTTGTTCATGTTCTAGATGAAACCCTTAGATTTAGAATTGCTTCATATCTAGAATAACTTGTGCATTGTGTCATTTTTCGTTATTTGCCATATTTTGGAGTCACCTAAGACATGTTTGTTTTTATTTTATGTTTTTCTAGCATTTCTGGTAAAATCATGCCACACATATCATTTTGTGGAAACTTCAAAAAGTAGAATTAATAAAATCAAACCTTAGCATTCTTCTTTCCATATACTCAATCTTTTTTAGTTTGAACTCCATAAAATCAAACCGTAGCATTCTAATAAAGCAGAGAGAATATTAAACTCTCTCCAACCTGAGTTTATTGTCTTAGTTTGATTTCACGAAATTTATAGAAATTGTTAAAAAGTAAAAAACGGTTGAAATTTATTTGAGAAATAAGAAGAATTAGGAACTATATATTCTTATTTTATTAGGAAACTAAAGAAATAAGATAATTTATTGGCAACAGAATGAAAAAGAAAGTGGGATGATTAATTTTTTTGGATGGAGGAAATATATATTCTTTGCCTAAAAAACTTTACCCAATTTCCTTTTTTTTGGACATCTAAAAAAATATTTTACTTTTTTTCTTTTATAGTAATGAACATGTGAATTACGGAGTACAAATATACAAACTCTTTTTTTACGCTACATCTATACGAATTATTATCATACAATTTTCAACATTTTGTTTGAACTCATTGAAAGACAATGGATAGTCCCAATTCTTTTGATACCAATGTTATGATATGATACCGAGCCCTTGGGAGTCTTACAGTTACAGTGCTCTGTTGGCTTAGGACCAAGTGACCAAGGCCTACTCCCCCATCCATCTAACAAACCCAACCCCTTGGCCGTGGGGAGCGGGGGGGGGGGGGGGGGGGGGGGGGGGGGGGGGGGGGGGGGGGGGGGGGGGGAGTTGATCACAGACCTAGCAGAGCTCATATTTACTAAAGCACCATTCTCTCCATGCACCATTAGTTTGCAAAAAAAAAAAAGAAGAGAGAATTAGACAGCCACTCGTGCAAATTACCTGGCCAAATTCATATGCCATACTAAGTTAGTCTGGACAAGACAGATTCTAGCTTCCGTTGCGCAACTAAACCCAATGATGCCAACGATCTGCTGGTCAAGTAGGGTCAACCCAAGGTTTGGAAAGGCAAGGGTTTAAAACCCCCCATGAAAGCACCTACCAAGCTGAAATTCATCAGATTCCCTTGGTGGCATTAACTCTCTCTATGGAGGATGCCCGGAATCCAACTTCTTCAGTACAAAATTTATAATGCTCCAGTTGAACCCACGGTATTGAAGCCAACGGATGATCCTAGATTTCCGCGTCTCCTTGGGCACCTCGCGACTTCGTAGCCATTGTTTCGATGCCTGGACAAGAAGATGATCCATTGATGGTTTGGACATACCAGATCCTGGTTCTTGCTCTTCTCCTATGTCACCATCCTTGAAAACAAGTTTTATTGCCCTGTCTGCATGCATCTCATTTACTCCTTTACTGATCAAGGCCTGTCCCAAAGTAACACCCGTTAATTCGATATTTGGTGAGAATTGCAGTGACTGACAATGGCTATAAGGAATCCTTCAATCAAAAAACATACACAAAAAAAGGGGATGTGGAACTCAACCATCCAAATTGTTGAGAGTAAATTGAATGTGAACACAAATATTGAGAGTAGAACTCTATACTGTTTAAATTGGTATTGAAAACAAAAATCCTCTGCTCATACACATGTATTTAGGTCTAAACACTTCAAAGTGTCAACCTTCGTCACTCAACCATTGAAGATTAAAATTTTGTTACAAACAAATTTGACTCGAATGTAATGAACTATATAATAGGTCTTGAATCATGTACAAGAAGTTTATCTTAACTTGTAGAACTCATTGTATTTGTTATATAGCCAAAGAACTTGAATAATGGAGCTAGTCCTTCCATCTCATTTTTGTGTAGTAACTTTATGGCTTGCGTGGTTGTTTAATCATATGTGGACTTCATTGTGCCCCTTTATGCTACCTCCTTTATTTACTTGTTTTTCTTGTTATCCCATTTTGATCATTTCGGTTTGAGCCAAAGGTCTATTAGAAAACTGCCTTTCTACCCTTCACAAGTAGAGGTTAGGTCTGCGCACATCCTACCCTTGCCAGAGACCCCTACTTGTGGGAATACACTGGGTATGTTTTGTTGTTGTGCTTAAAATGAGAGTTGCAAATTTGGGTATCATTATGGGATTTTAAAATATTCATGCATAAGGTATCAATGGAAGACCAAGCCCACCGAAAGTGGGCCCAAACAACAACAACTTTAATAGAAATTAATCAGTAGTTTTGGAAAATTAATGTGCAGTTTGAAGCTTCTACTCAGAAACCATCTCCGAAGCTCTTATTCTCTCTCCCTATTTCCGCACAGTTCTTTCTTCATAGCTTCTCTGCCAAGCGAATGCAGAAAGTCAGCAATTGTGATAGACAAGAAAACTTTTCCGGTCGGGCTACCCATATGGACACGTATATTTGCCCCTTAGCATAGCAAATTAGCAATCATTCCTTTGAAATTGAACTGTGATAACTAAGACACTTGACATGTTGCCTCAAATCTTGTTTTTTATGAACAAACAAAGCAAATGGAGTTCAACTTTCATCCAAGATATAACTATGTCTAAGTAAATCAAAACATTGTAATTCAACACAGTCTCTAATGATATCACCAAATCTTTGCAAAGTCCTAGGATAGACTTCATATTCAACACATTGTTATTCAACGGAGATTGTTGAATATATTCAGTACATGGGTTGTAGAGCGTTTCATGTAAAGTATCTTACTCTCTTTGCTTTATTCTGTACTAGTAAGGCTAAAGCATCTTGGCTATTGTATGATTATTTTCTAGTAATACACTAATACTGAGCTAAGAAACATTCTCAGCAATTTACTACTTTAATGGTCTTTTTTAGTAATGTTGTCAAACTGAAGTTATGCACAAGTGTAGGACTGTGGGATTTCAGAAAAAATCATTATGAATGATCTATCTAATGACTATGGGGCGATGGCTATCACCCATTCCAACGAGCAACCTAATGAATAATACTCTATAACAGGAGAGGCAAGCTTAGACAACAATTCAATTCAAGAGGTTTATGGGCCTACTTGTTTAATTCGTCGTGGACCCCAGCATGACGAAGACCATCTTGATCTAGTAAAAGTTTCCGCATATAGGCCATCATTGAGTAGACCCCTGTAAGGAATAGCAATAATTAATTGCAATGTACTAAGTTAAATGAACGAGTTTTAATTAGATTTAAATAGAGTGAAATGTCATTCTAAGAAAGTGGTTTTCATACACTTAATCCATGAAAACTATGCCTCTCTCAGTTTTTATAACTTCCCTTAACTTTTCAATATAGTGCCAAGTTCATTCTTTAGCTCTTTTGGTCCTTGCAATGAATAATCTTTAAAATTTTCACCTTAATTGAGGGTACTTATCTTAACAAGATAATAAATCCATCACCATAAATCATCCAAATGTCTTTCCAAAGAGGGCTAAAATTTATCGACATGTTTCCAACAGTAAACTGAGGTCTATTTGTAATGTCCCTATAGGCCAATATGGTATACACAATCTTGCAAAACAGGCTAGCTCTTACCTCTTAGTGAGCAATGACATGTTCTGGCTGGTGACAAAGGTAAAGAACTGGAGACAACATTGGATAAGGCAGAGGCATAGTCAATGCCCAAGGGCATTGGGTTTGGATTATCTTAAATAATGTTTGGTTTTAGAATTACATACTTGAAAGTGATATAAGATAATAAGATTAGAGAATGTGAGATTATATCGTGTTTGGTTGACTTGAGAGTGTGGAGTGTAATACTCATAGAAGACATAGAGTCATAGTTGTATTAACTTGCTTGGTTGAAAGTTATGTATGTTAGAAGATTGTGAATCAGTTATAAAATGTCCATGTACAATTATACACCACGGTTCTTTTGATATCGGTTACCAACTGATATTGCCCTATGGTACTACACTGCGCAGGGGACAGGGTCCCAACCCTCTGCCCCTCGTACCCTACCCTATGTCCACCTCTCCCCATCCCCACCCCCACCCCAGTTTCACAACATGATACCCCTATTCATGTAGCAAATCAGTTCCACCCCCTCCCTCGGGAGATCCACCTCCCACCCGACTCATCCCCCGATCTCGGACCCATGGGGGCACCACAAGGCCCCTAGATTACCCAATGCCATAGACACCAAGAACTGGTGTCAAATGACAGGCTGACAAGTCTATTCTCCTACCATCACAAAGACATTGTTTCAATTCATTTAGGCACAGTTGTCAAGAGAAAAGAGCTTCTTTATTTTGATCTTCTCATTTTGTTAATTCTACTAGTTAAAAGAAACATTTTTTGGTCCACATATTTTAGCCATTTCAGAAAATGAAGAAATAAAAATGGAATGTCCCAAAATGGAAAATGAGATAATATCTTTGGGATGGAGTATGCAACTATGCATAAGCAAATTAAAAAAACTGAGTAATTTCTTTAATTGTGTTTTGAAATGTGTTTTGAAAAAAAATTAAATGTGCATAATTTTTATTTTTAAATGAAGTTTAGAAATTTAAAGTAGGTGACTCTGGATTAAAATGAGATAACAACGATTATCAGCATTACCACCACCACGGCCATCTTCACTATAAACACCTTAATCCCCCAGCTAGATGTAGATGGGGTTGATGGCATTGATTCAGTAGGTCCAGTTATTTGTAAAATATAATTATTACTCACTCTATCACATAAAAAGAGTCGTATTTCTAAATTCCTTTTTGTCTCAAAAAAAGTATTCAATTTGAATCAGAGAAGCTATTTTCATCATATTTTATGGTTTATAGCAAACAAAAGTGTCACAAATCAGTTCAGAGTGTTAAATTTAGTTAAACCAGCAACGAAATTTTAATGTACAGGTATAATTGATGATTTCTAATATTTGTGCCTAACAAAAATTATAAGAGGGATGCTAGAAGTACACCAAAAGTGTACCCCAAATGTATATCACCCATTTTTCTACCACTCATTTTTATTTATTTATTTTTTGTTTATTTTATTTGCCAATATATGTGGCATTGGAGGGGGTGGTGTACAAAAAGTGTACCCCTAGCATTTTTCAAATTATAAAGTTGTACGTTTGTGAAGGACTCTTTTTTTGGAACGAAGGGAGGTACTGTAAATTCATGCAAAAGAGAATAGTGGCAATGCTTTACACGAGATACCCTCGTGCCTCGTCACAACTTTTATAAGAAGAAATAATGAGATGAAAATTCCGAAATCACCATCATCATAGATAGTTTTTGCATACACATAGCCTTGTATATAAGATGAAATCTACGTGGTGGCAATGTTACATAATCAAGGTTATCACATAACTTTAGCCAAACAAGGTTTTCTAACATAGCAAAATTGCATTACCCAGGGAATATTTTATGAAGTGGACCAAAAACCCATTTTATAAACATTATGCATTGGTATTTGGGATCCAACTAGGTTGTTGTTGTATGCATTAGAATTTGGAATGTGTTGCATTTTCCATAGTTTGTAAGGTGTCGCCTAGGCGATAAGGCACTGTCCCGTGGACGCCTAGTCTGCTCGCCTCGCCCAAAAAACCTTAAGGCGTTCAAGCGTTCGCCTAGCCGTCGCCTTACTCTCACCTTGACGCCTTGGGCCCCTTTAAATTTTTGAAAAGCCCATTTTTTTAGTGCAACCCAATTATTTTGAAAGCCTAATTTAAAATGTTTAAAAAGATTTGACTTAAACTTGTGGCCTACGATATAATATATATGTGTGTGTGTGTGTAGGATGCCTATGCGTGCGCCTAGTCGCCTAGGCGATATGAAGGTGCATTGGCGCCTTACAAACTATGGCATTTTCTAGAACTAACTCCTCTCTTCTTCATTGGTTCTTGTTGATATATATCCAATATTTTAAGGAGTCACAGCCTAGCCCTAGCATCACAACCTAGCCCTAGCATAAGAGAACTAATTCAAAACTTGGAAGTAATTTCTGTACAAAAAGGAACATGGAAGACTCAAGATAACAATCAATTTACATGGAAGCTACAATGCCACGAAACATATTTGGAACTAGAAGTTCTGACAATGATTAGGTTTAGGTGCATGTGGTGATAGATTGGTTTCTAGGCTTGGAAAGAAAAATTATACCCTCAACTCAGGTGAAGTTTAACTAGATCATTTACAGGAAGGAGTGGAACATTTAATAGAAAAACTGCAAGCCGTGAACTCGAATTGCAAATTTTGACAGACAAGACCTAAAAAACAACTTCATAATAGTTGACCCAAAAGTGTGAAAAATACTCCTAAGAGAATTACTCCCTCCGTCCCATAAAAAAGGTTCCACCTTTAACTTGACAGGAGATTAAAAAAAAGTGAAATTGTATGGTTGAAAGTGATGCATAGGAGAGAAATTATAAAGGCCACAAATTGTTTCCAAAAGTGGAACCTTTCTCCGGGATGGAGGGAGTAACATATTTGGGAAAACAACACAATATATTTACAACTAGTAAAGTAATTATAGAAAAGGTCCCACAAAACTTTATAGTTAACTACAATGTTTGACTCAAGCTTATTTACCTGGCACATAGGTCTGTTATCACTGAAACAATAGAACAAATTGGAAACTTCTTTCCTTGGAGTTTCTTCCTAAGCTCTACTGCTGTTAATGATCTGCATGGTAGAGCAAGGCACTTCAGAAGAAACAACAATGAGTAGAAAGAATAAAGGCACGTGGAAGGTATCATCATCAATTAGAGGAAGATTAAGTATTATTATGTCTTAGTGTCTCAACTAATTCAAAAGAGTCAACTCCTCAATTAAACTAAAGTAAACCAACAAGCTTGAGTGCAATTTTGTTCACTATCCTAAAAGAGGGTGATGTACCCTCCACTTTGGAGGGTGAGAGGGATGGCTTTAAAATGAAAGTTTTGAAAATATGTGCTTCTATATTATACTTCATACTATTCAAGTATTAACCAAGAGCTTTCATATGAGTATAAGTTTGGTATATTTATGTTCTTATAAATTACTTTATAAGCTTATAAGCAAGTATAAATGGTAAGAGGAAAGATAAAATAGAGCATAAAATTGATTGTGGACGTGAGAAGAGATAATAAGTAGAAAAGTGGTTGAAATTAGAGAGAGAAATGTAAAATACATAATCCTTAAAAAAGAGAAAGTTTACCAAAAGTGAAAAGGTTAAGTGTGAAGTTTATTTTGGGACGCACATTTTAAAAAATACATTAAGGCTCCGTTTGGTACACGGAATTCAAACTATGGAATTGGAATTGAGGACAACAATTCCAATTCTGCTGCTTGGTAGCCCAAAAATATGTGGATTTGGAATTGGTAGTGCCAAAAATAAATTGGAATTGGAGAATTTAATTCCATTCAAATGAATTCAATAGAATTTCAATTTCTAATTCAATTCCAATTCCGTGTAACAAATGGACCCTTAGTTTTTTATTCGACTGAAGAAGAATTTCACCCTTGACATTGATTGTGATGTTCACCCGTCTCTAAGCTACGTTGCTTGGAGACGGGGCCAGGAACAAGGAAGCACCAACTTTTCCAAACTTTACAAAGAATTTGAGTGTCAAGAGTCTCAAGACATCCTCAAGTAACTGAACGGAGATGTTTCTAGTATGGGAAGCAGCACCTATTTTGAAGAACTTGTGCAACATAGCTTTAAGAAGGTAAACAGAACTACACTCAACAAGGTCATTTATGTGAGCACAAATTTAGCCGGATTATGAAGGTAAACTTCAGTACGTCGTATTACCTTCCAGCAAGCAATTCTATTGCCACTCTTTCCAAATCTTGTTTAGATGCATGGTCAATCAAATTATCCAACATGCCTTTTTCATTCTCTTCCAATAATCCACTGCTTTCAACCCCTAAATCACCACCATTTTCCTCCTCCAACTCTGAAATTCCAATTCCAAAAGGCAGTTAAAACTTCCAGTTTTCATGGATATTCCCCTGACTCTTGGTGCCCCCTCCTCACTTCCCTTGCCCACTCAGAAACACAAACCAACAGCAAAAAATGCTTTTAGCATCAGAAAGCGCACCTCTTCTAGACGTCCGGTTCACACGATTATGCTTTCCTACAACCACCACATCTTTTGAGGACAAAATATAAGCTTTAGAGTCTTCAGCATTCAAGGGAGACTCAAGAATACATTTCCCTGTTAATGAAGCGCTGTTGTGTTTGTACTTTGAGAAGCAAATGCTACTACTCTTCTGCAAACTAAACATGAAATCATTGTACGGAGTATCATTTAAGATGGTCAAATCCATTTAAATGCACTGCCGCCAAACACAGATATGAAAATGCGTATGAATCTATAAGAATGGCCTACCTGTGGATCAGATTAAGCCTAAGACGAAGCTGAATTGCATTCTTACAGAAGAAATTTCTCAGGGAACTCGTCATTCTATGTTTAATAGGGTTTGTTCAAATTCGAGTTTACATACTCGTATTACCCAATTATTCTGAAAAAACGCATGAACAAGAGTTATAATGGTGAAACAAATAATGGCATCTTTAATCTTTAATGTGAAGTGCTTCGAAAATTGTTTACCCCAAAAAAGGTGAAGTGGTGGCTTATGTGCACTACTTGCTTCATTTTTAACTAGAATTACGTGGTGAAAAAATTGAGGGGTGTATTCAATCAGGATTTTGAAAGATTTAGATAGATTGATTAAAGTCTATGGATTCTGCAAAATCTATAGATTATTTTATGTCTATGCAGAGTTTGATAGATTCTAATGGATTTTATCAGCAGGATTTTATAAGATTCTGCTTGATTGTTTATAATCCATAGATTACTTATGTATAAATATGAATTATTTTATAAATTTATACATTGTTGTAACATGAACTATTGTAATTAGCTAGTAAAAAACTTTATTTATGAAATTCTTAAAAAAAAATTAAAAATAATCTAATAAAATAAAAATAATTTATTTTTTAAAAAATTTTTCATTTTCGAAATAAAATTTATTAGAATAAAATAATTGGAAAATAAAATTACTAAACAACTAAAAATAAAATTATCATTTTTGTAATATATTTATTAGAATGAAAATTATCCTTTTTGTAATAAAATATTTATTTTGCATCTAAAATTGTTATTATCTCTCCGCTATTCTTCTTTTATGTCAAAACTCATCAATAATGAAATGCTAAAGACAACTCAAAAGAAGACATTATTCAAAATTTTAAAAGATAATTGAAAAATAAAATTACTAAACAACATAGTCTTCCATTTCAACTTCATTATCACCAAAACCTTCTTCATTCTCCTCATTAACATCATTTTGTGGTCTATCGGCCCACATAGCTTCAGCAATGCCATGTCTCCAAGCGTTAGCTTCTGCTCTTTGTTGTTGTTGAGTTTGAGAAAGTATTTCAGAATTTTCTTCCTCCATGTCAAGATATGTTGAAGAAGATGACTCAAGTTCTGGTTCAGGAGTAAATTCATCAGAACGACACTCTTTACGAAGAAAGTTGTGTATTCCTGCACAAGCTAACACTAGCTCTGCTTGTGTTTGAAATGGAAAGGGAGGTGCAGTTTTGAAAATGGTGAAACGTGATTTAAAGATACCAAATATCCTCTCAATAACATTTCTCAACGATGCATGACGAAGATTGAACAACTCATTTGCATTTCGGGGGTGACGGCCCTGACCTCCAAAATCTTTGAGATGATACCGAACACCTCGCAATGGTGCTAAAAATTGTCGTCGATTCGCAAATCCACAGTCAACCAAAAAATATTTTCCTGAAATAGAAACAGAATGACATATACACATAACAAATATTTTCATACAAAAAGTAATAAATTAACAACAAAATTAATTTAATTACCTTGAGGCACTTCAAGTCCATTTCTTCTACATAATGCATCGTTTAGCATTTTTGAATCATGTGCTGATCCTTCCCACCCACTAAGCACATATATGAATTCCAAATCAAAGTTGCAAGCTGCTAAAACATTTTGGGACTGAATGCCATGACGATTACGATAACTACTTACTTGACGACCTTTTACAATTGCAGGAATATGAGTGCCATCAATGGCACCAATACAATCCTAAAGCATAATAAAATTGTAAAAAATAATAATTTGAGACAAATTTGTAGTTCATACATTTAAAACAATAGTAATCAAAATTGGTTCATAATCAACTTTGTATTACTTTTGTCAAAGAAGGTACCTTAAAGTAGGGGTAAAATCTTGTGTTGCCTCTTATTTTAGAAGGCACGGCAAATCCCGGCTTGACCATCATTTGTGGTGCTATAGTGTTTAATGCCTTCAAAACTTTGTTAAAGTTTTGACTCGTTGCGAAATGTGAACGACCAAATCTTTGACGAACATTACAATGTCTATATGACCAAGCACATATAAAGTAAAACTAACCACTTCTTTACACATATGCATACCTAAAGAAAAAATTAACATATAAATAGACATATGCTTACTGCCAAGAGCTATTACCTATGGGCTCTTCTTCTTGTTTATTTTGCTCATTCCACCATCAATAAAAACTTTCTCAATTCTATGTGTAATCTTTTTACCCCTTATTTTCCTATCAATTGGTTTGACCTGCCACTTTCTGTCCTACCCTTACACAATTCACCATTTCTGTTATTTTTCAAGGAGAAGCAAAATTCATAATTATTCTTTGCCGAGAAAATCAATTATTATTCCACGTGATTTATCCCTAAATTCAAATGCCAAATGATTTAATTCAACCAATAAAGTGGAGTAAAACTTATATGCCAAAACCACCATAGGCTACTCCAACTTATTATTGGGGGAATTTCTACAAACACATAGAGGGCATAACATATTAACCTAAAAAAGAGTAATTTATGAATCAATTAAAGAGTTTCAAAAATAAACAAACATGGCCAGTAACTAATTCAAATTCAAAAAAAAAAAAATACATACTCCGTTAATAGTAAAAACAACAAAATTTACTTTTTAAAATTATTTGGGTTGTGAAAACAGGGCAAAGGACAACTAGAAATTAGCTTTGGTGAGGAAAGTCAAAAAAGCAATAAAAAATTGAGAAGATTGAAGGCACAAACCACACAATCACACAAAAAATTGAAGGCTTGAATATAATGGAGGAGAGTTGGAGAAGAGAAGACCTTACCTTGAAGCTTGAAGACGATGAAGACAAGAACCTGCGTCGAGAGAGATGATGATCGAGAAGATGAACTCTCTTGGGGAAGAAGGAGATGAAGAACGACGAGAAGATCTTGCGACTTGCGACTACTCGACTCCTGAATATCCACTGGGGTGTGGTTTTGGATTTGAAAACAAGTTTTTTATTTATACTTCAAGCCAAAAATCCATCACAATCCATGATTTATAACAATCTTTAAAAATCTATCTATTTTTCAATACCATTAGATTTAGAAATATTTTTTAAAATCTCACTTGAATACCTTTAAATTTTAAATGATTTTTTAAAATCCCAATTGAATACCTATTGACTTTTTAAATCCAAAAAAATCTTACAGAGTCTGGATTGAATACACCCCCTGAATCTTAATTAAGAACTTACTCCAACTAAAGGCAAATTATATTGTATAGCCGGTTGTACGGGAAGAACCGCACAGCCGGAGAAAACAAGCGAGGATCGATGAAGTTCGCGAAGAGGAGAGGAGCGTGACGATCGAAGAAGCCGGCGAAAGAGAGGCGACGACAAAGGGAGGCGCGAAGATTGGGAGGAGGCGAAAACGATGGAGAATGGCAGGACGAGGAAAGGCGATGGTGGCGGCGGTAGTGTAAGGTGGAAACCCTAGTTGGGACTTGGGACTGAAGAAGTTGAAGAGATGGGATTGGAATGAATCGAATAGATTAACATCCAACGAAAAGGGTAGTGATGAAGAAGTTGATGATGGTACTGAACTTTTTAATTGTGAAAGAATTGAACAATACTTTATTTCAGAATGAGCATTTCCTTTGAGAATGAGTATTATTTTTTAAGAATGAATACTAAGCTATTTATTATAATTATATTAGAAAAATGTGTAAAAATGAGTACTTTTTTATTTTAAAATGATCACTACCTTTGTTAGAATGAGTACTACGTATTTCGAAATGAATGTTTATATTTGTACGAGAATGAGTACTACTTTATTTCAGAATGAGTACTACCGTAATGTACCTATTTCTAGGTACATCCGGATGTACCATATACCAACTCCCAATTAAAGATGTTCCGAGAAGACAAATGAAATAGTACAAGGTAATGTATGTAAAATTGTAAATGAGTAATTCCTTTATAAAGAAATCAAATTGAATGAATTTTCAAAACGATCCTTTTTAATAAGATGTTTTCCCAGATTAGTCAACACTAATCAATAATTACTTTAGTGATCCTTTATAATTTAGATTTATTTCCTAAAAAGTCCTCTAGCAAAAATGTCTATTTAATCTCAATCAAATATAAGGTATTTTGATATGTTTTCAAACTGACAATTTCTAAGTAAATGTTTCACCCATATGGAGTCCATGAGTATACTCGGGGTGAGTTTGTTCCTCTTGCAGCTACTCACTTAATTTGAAAGGACTATTTTAAGGACTTGTTCATAGTCTAGATTAAGAAAGATACCACAATACCCTCTATTTAACTCTTATTTAATAGATATTTTTTGCTAGATGCTTATTTAGGAAATACATCTCAATTACGAAAGACTACGTTAATAATTATTGCTTATTGAAGACTTATTAGTTATTAGCTAATTTCTCAAATCTTTCGATTGTTCGGTAATTCACTCTTATTATTGCGATAAGCAAAGGAATCAAAAGTAGTCGAGGTACTATTTTGATTGACTATTATTTTTGCTAACCCGTTAGCGACACTTTTTCCTCTCGCATAACATAGATAATTTACACACTCCAGTTTATGTGAATTAGCCACTTACATTTTTGAATTATATCTCGAATTAGTCCTCTAATGTCATTTTTCGGCTCTTCTTCAATCCAATCGACCACTCTCTTTGAGTTGCTACGTATGCTAACATTCATCAGCTTCTTTGACCAAGCCCATTCAAGCCCTTTGAGGATCCTCATGGCTTCAACTTCCTCTATATGATTTTCCTGAAAGTAGAAAGTAAATCCATCAATCCAATTTCCTTGCCAATCTCGGATTACTCAACCCACACCAAAAGCATTGTTAATCATGCTGCCATCAATGTCCAAATCTAGTGATCGGTCAATTTGTTTGGTGTCCGTTCAAATTTGTTTAGTTTGATTCTATTTTAGATACTCTCATATACTCCTCTGTTTAAAAAAACTTCATGTTTGATTTGGCAGAAAGTTTAAAAAAAGTAAAAACTTTTGGTTGAAAGTGATGTGGAGGAGAGAAAAAGATTGTGAACCATTCAAAGTTTTCAAAAATGAAAAGAGACTTTTTTTGGACGTCCAAAAAAGATAATAAGGAGGTCTTTTTTGTTCTAGTTCGAGTTTAATTTGGTTATCTCTATATTTTCTGTTTCAATGTATTCCAGTTTGATTCAAATGCAATTTGGGTACATGCTGGTTCATATAGATATTAGTTTGCGTAAAGTTTCACTTCAAGTAGTTTTTGTGCACGTTTCTTTGTGCTTATATCCTGGTCAAAATTGCTTATAAGCTATTTTTAACTTATACATCAGCCGATAATGTGTTTTCCTCTAGTTATAAGGTAGAATATAAACTACATACAAGTCCAAAAAATAGACTTTTAGTGAAAATATGGTAAAAATTCAGGTATTTTTGTGAAAGATTTTGAAGTTCAAGTACCAAATCAAAAGTTTCACGAAAGTTGAGGTAATATTCTTGAAAGGGAGAAAGACCAAAGTAGGACTAAACTATTGAATGTATACCAAAATAGGATTTTTCATATTTTTAGTCTCGAAATAGGACTTACATTACCAAACATGATCATCTACAGTGCGCATCTACAGTGCCACATTACCACAATGCAAAATCATATTTCGAGAAAAAAACATGAAAGTCTTATTTTAGTATTTTTCTCTATGTTTAGTCCTATTTAGGGTGATTTCTATTCTTGGAATTTACCCTGGTTCCCACCATCACATTTTTCTTTTTTTTTGTGATATTACATACGTAGTACACAATATATACATATACAGAGTTTTTTTTAATAATTGAATGAAAAAATATTTTGATGGACTTAATTAAATATAATAATTTCTTTTGTTTATTTTAAACTTGTATTAATATTTTGTTGAGTTTATTGCACCAATACCCCATGTCGTTTGATAAATATGCATTGTTACACTTATGGCTTCAAAACTTAAGTCATTGCCCCTCATGATTTTGATATTGCTGCTTCAATGCCACTCTGGACAAAAACGTGAGGAAGAACGACGTAAGTTATAAAACCATGAGAGGTAACCGTGCATATTTTCAAACCACATGAGATATTGGTACAATAAACTCGTACTCTGCATTTTGTTAAAGTTAGTGTTGTAGGTTTATTGTTATAAGAATATGTTTAAAAATTTAGTAGGTTTTTTTTTTTGTACAAAAAAACACACCTTTCATATCACCTCCTCAAAGCAAAATATACATCTATTTTTCTCAATGCTTTACATCATATTCTTATAAGCAAAGTAACTGCTAATGCAGTAATGAACAAACTCTATACCATCCTCTATAGTGCATACTTTTTGGTGTATAATTTTGTTCCTCATTCTCCATATGTTATACGTACACCCAGCCCACACAGCCCACAGTTGTTCCCTTCTCCTCTTAGTCCTGATTCGCTACCCATACTCTTCCATGTCCAGCGTCTTAGTCACTTTGATATGGAAGTTAAAGATAGGGAAACAAGTATTGAAAATCTTTTGAGCTGCTTCACATTCCAAGAATAATTGTTCATCTGTTTCAACAGCTGATCCACACAACACACAATCAGTATCTATCTTAATATACTTGCACAACCTTGCTTTGGTTTGTATTCTCCCTTTCATTAGTAGCCAGGTCACAAACTTAAACTTTGGAGGGGTACATTTGTTCCAGATGTAACCATTCCATTTTGTTGACTCATTTTCCCTTGTATCCATTTGTATCCATCACTAATGCTGTATGGTTTCCTCTAGACATCATGCTGAATATGTCTCTAATTCTTGTCATTTCCCTCCGGTAGTGGCAGGCATCTTGTTGTGTAGGTTTAAATTTTTGATGTGGTGGCATTAAAACTGTTTTTTTGGATTTACCATTACAATCTTCCTAACACCAACATATTTTCACTTCACCTTTTTTGCATTTATAAAAAAAATAGAAAAATCATGTAACCCACAAAATACTTTTTCTCAGTTACATAACGTAAAACTAAACCCTTTTCACTCTATAACACATCTATGTTCGCTAAATATCAGCAAGAAAAATTAAATTCTATTTCTTACCTTAAACAAATGATGTATTACTCAATATTTTTCGAGTTGGAACGTTAAGCTTGAATACTGATATACAGAAGAAGCAGCCAATACACTTACTAAAGTCAGATCTTCAGCTTAAAAGGTCAAATGACACATTAAGATCATTGAAGAAGATAAACTGAATTATGTCAGTCAACAGGCACAGCTTGACCAAACACTCAATGGATAAGAGTGTCAACCCAATGATACACACAACAATGTGTGAGTATACAAACCCAGACTTATTCAAATAATAAGACTTTTGCAGCGTTACCAAACAGGTTTTTCACCTGCAGAAACAGCCCATGTAAGGGAAAAGAATCACGTTTTCGACAGCCGAACATCCACAGGAAGCCAAGAAATTTACCTGTTTTAAAGAAAGTCCCAACTTCTCCAAATCATTAAGCTGCAAGAGAAAAGAATGCAATAAGTTTAATAGAGCATGGTAGGTTTTTATCTTTCCTTATTCTTTTTAAAGGTATTTGTTGTGAAAGGCGGTGTTACCGTTTTCAAAGGGCTGCCTTCTCTTAGTTCAAGTATATAGTCAGCAAGTTTATTTCCTATACCCTGATGATTGTTTAAAAATGAAAATCAGCAACTTATTTATAATAAAAAAATTGTTAACAATTACCAGTATAACTGTTCTATTGCTTACCCTTATCTCCAGCAGTTCCTCCCTGCCAAAAAAGTGGGAAAAATGCATGATGTCTCTTGAGCACAAAAAGATGGGTGGAAAAAATAACAATGTACAACAAGAAATAGTTACCTGCTTGCTGTGTTCAAGAATTCAATGTACTCCTCAGCAAAAAAGCTCTGCATCACGGATAATACTCGAAGAATCAAAACCAATGTGCAGAAACATACATTAGTTCATGAGAGCAGAGTTTGCTGCATACCTTAAGGTTGGAACTTTGTGCATTGATTTTTTCAAGTGGTGTTCGGAGCACTTGAAGTGTACTATCCACATTGTTCTTCAAATCAGTAAGTGAGACATTTCTCTTCTTGGCGGAAATACTCTCAATGCTTATGTTGGTGTGAATGGGAGAAAGGGCTTTCCTTGGTGGACTCTGAAATGCATTACTTTTCATAAAATACGGTGATGGTCTTATGGGGTTCACTGATTCAACATTTCCAATTTTCTCATCCCTTGCCACTTGATCTGCACAAGATTCAGAGTTAATGGGGGTAAAAAAAGATTGAAACAAAACAAATATAAACAAGCATCAAAAAGATGTGCACCAGATTTACTATCATCGAACCCTTGTCCTCTATCTTCTGAAACTTCAAGCTTCTTTTCTGTATTTCTTCTAGCATCCGCAAGGTTTAGTGCCTGCATTCAGAGTTCCTTAAATTTGTCTCTCAGGGTGGATCCAGCTTAAATGGGAGGAAAGTCTAGCAATTTGGGTAGCTCCACATAGTCACATGCTTTGTGATACATCGGAATTTGTCGAATTAACATCATCCGGAGTATTAATTGTAAACTTAGAATGATAAGCACAAGATTTCAGTTTTATCAAAATGTATATTGCTCACCTCCGTAGCTGAGACAAAACGATGTCCACTGCTAATTAGGCTTCTAAAAGCAACATCAGGAGTCCTGCAAAAGGAAATGAAGTAAAATAGTAAAAAAAAACTGATGAAACTACAAGGCAGAAGTTGCTAACCCAGCTAGTAGAAGCATTCCCTTACCTGTGCTTTAAATTTGAAGCACCCTGATTGCTAAACAATTTAGCTTTAGATGAACTTGGATGCACATCAACTCTTTTTATCAGTGAATTTGGAGTTTTGCTAGTTAATGGAGAAGCATACACCTTTGGCTTTTGTGCACTTTTTGTCTTACCTCTTGAGTCAAGCCAAGCACGGAGCTTTGCTTCCATATCAACTTTAACCTTAGGAGTTTCTTTTCTAGCTGAAGTTAAAGAATTAGAAATGTGCCTTGACCTTGCTGCTAAACTGACCGTATGAACGGACTCCTGGTACTCTCCAGGGTTCTTGTGAGTGGCAACGAAAACAAATTTCAAAGCTTTAGCAAAACTCTCATTTTCATATTCTTAATATATACAGACGGGGTATACAATTATAAGGGGAAAAGTCCTTACCAAACAAGAAATCATTAAAGCCCGACTTGTTCCTCCAAGCGAATCCTGTAGCACACGCGTCAATTTGCTTTCTCTATAAGGTATTCGCAGTTGGCTGTTATTCAATGCATGAATGACATTTGACAATGCAAAAAGGGACTGGTTTATCTTGGCACTCTCTTGGAGCCGAATTCCCTCATTGCAAGTCTTCTTGTTATCTTCATTTCCTAATTATATCGAATAAAAAACACCACAAGTGAGTTACCTTGTGCATAAGAAATATTAGATGCAACCAATCAGGTATACAATTCTATTCATGTGAAATACCTGCTAAATCAATGATATTAAGTTTCCCAGTGATAAGATCTCCTGAATTTTCATGACCAGGTGTGGAAACAGATATAACAAGAGCACAGTGGCTCCGGCTAGAGAGATCATTAACATTGGTATGGGCAACTTTTCTCCTCTGAGTTGCAACATTGAATACCTCATAAAAGCCATTCATTGAGCTAACTTCAACTTCTGCAAGTCCTTTCAGATGAACCTTCCCATCTTTGTCATCCAATATAGCAACTTCCTTATTTTTCAATTCTAGCAAATCATAGCATCTGTCCATGTAAATCTCATAGTATGAGATGGACACGGTACTTCGAGTGCTTTGACGAATGGAAAGAATTGATTCCATTGCAAGTGGGATTAGACCTGGTGTCTCGGCACTTCCCTATACAAGAGAATTTATTTAATGATTAGTATACTTTATCTTTATCTATAAGCTTGCATGTGCATTTGAGAAGGGTTGACAGAGAATGAGGTGTAAATAAGTTAGCATTTAGTGATATCATCCTACATACTCACAAGTTTGATTGTTCCTATGCATTTGTGGCACTATGGAGTGAATTTTCGATTCTAAAAATTGAAGGATGATTAAGGAGACAAATTGGCAAACTTCTTCAAGACAAATCATATGTGATGCAGATGCACAATGGTGACTCACTAGTACATACTCCACACAAGATAAGTTCATAAATTGAACTAAAGTTATTTTGAGACTACAAAAAAAGAAGCAAGAATAGGAATACCTGCATGGTATAGGTTTTTCCACTCCCAGTTGCCCCATAAGCAAATACAGTTGCATTTTGTCCAAGGAAAATCCCAGGGATTAAATGGCTGACTTCTTTGAGAAAAATTTGGCTGAGATTATTGTCTTCGTGACCAAAAACTCCATCCAACTTGTACCATTCATTTCGGCTAGGCCACAGGTAAAATACACCGTACCGTGTTATATCAGAAATTTAAAATGGGTAAAATGCGCCACATACCCTATGATAACCAAATTTGAAGAGGCGCTACACTACCTAAGGGAAAAATCTTGCATCTAAGAATTCAAGTGTACCTAATCTAGCATATAAAAAGACAAAATTGTACCGGAGTACTATTTTCTCATCTTCCCCACTTGTGACAAGTTGGGCATATTGAATCCATTGCCTGAGTTGTAAAAAGATAAGTGGATATAAAATGATACTCCAAAAGCCTCAAAATCATGTTATCTTTTTCTCTTTTCTGAGACATCCAAAAGAAGTTTACATTTCATTTTAAGAAAAAAAATGGTGTAATTCATATTACAAGTATTTCTTTTCTCTGCATAAATTACATCCAAACTAAGATTTCGTCCAAAAACTAAGATGAAACTTTAATTTGGGAGTATAATTTGATGATGGCACTTACATCATTTCACATCTCACAATAGCATTTTTTAATCATTGGAGTGAATGTGCTTCTTAAGAATTTTCACAGGGTCTCTCAAACTCATTTGTTTTATTACAGGGTCTACGATGCTAATTCGACATTTCACAGGGGTCAGGCGCTCCAAATTCAAAAGTTTACAGAAATAAACAATGTGCTGTACAGTTGTACCCAAAGACCAACACCAAGTACCTAGATTCATGATCTTTGAGATGAACAGTGACTTCGTCTGAAGTTTCAGGATCAGGGTGAAGGACAGATGCAACACAAGAAACTGGGTTCCCATTTCTGGATGAGGCTTCTTGCGAAAGGAAGGGGCGAACTCTCAAAACAACTCTCACCTTAGAGGTTAAGGTGGAGGAGTGGGACGCGGGAAGTCTTTCCGGGGAGGATATATGTTCCATTCGGGAGGCCTCCATGCTACTCCTACATATCGCCATTTTCACAAAAATTTAACTTTCAGAATCTAATGATCAGTAGTTTAAGTCAAAACAATTGCATTCTAAAAATGGGCAAAAAGTTTGTGCCCTAAACGCAAGCATAACGGAATTGAAAACTGAGCACTTATGGAGTCAAATCAAGACAAATGGGGAACAGAAGGAGAAATAAACCTGGATTTCTAATCAATTCGAAAGAGATTTAGGATCAAAACATGAATTTAGTCGCCATTCTAATCGATTAAAAAAAGAATTGCACGGAAATTGAATGAGAAAGAGCAACATACTTCAAGGAGCAAGTTTTATGCGTTTACCTTTGGAATGAAGCAGGGGAATCTGAGAACAACTTTGTGTGCTCGGGATGTGGAGAAGGATTTGGCTTCGGAGCTCACACCAATAGAATTAGCAGACAGAAAGTTAGGAACGAGACACAGAAATGCCCGTTATAGAAGTACAGGGGTTGCGCGGCTTGTAATTCAAATTTTCAAATATTTTTTGGTACTCGTAGTAGAGATGGGGTGAGGCTACCCATTCAAACTTTGAAAATCGGACTACTATATTTTTTTTCAAAAATAGAGAGTGGTTCAAGTGTTCAACACCACACACTCTTGCATGCAAAAAAATTAATTAATAAATAAATAAAAATGTATGGGTAAAAAGTGGATGGTGTACATTTGGGCTACACATTTGATGTATCGGTAGCATCCCTCATTTTTTTCATTTTGGTTGTTGTGATCAACATTTTTAATATTTGACCATAAATTATGAAAAAATAGATTAAATTGTGATATAAATTTAATATTAATAGATTAATTTTGAAATAGAAAAAATGCTAGGGTGTCCTCATAAATGGTTGTTACCATGGATGCACTAGTATTTCACATAGATGATTATCATCTGTGTCATCTGTGCGAAGCATGGGTGCACCCATGATAGCAACCATTTGGGACACCCTAGCATGACCCACATATAGTTTTCAAATATTATATTTTTATAATCCATGTTTATATATAAACATCGATATTAATGGTCAAAGTGTTATATTGATGACGGTGAAAAATTAATTTGAACAAAAGAAATTGGAAAGAGGGAGAATTTTTTTAAGGGCATGTTCTGTTGATATAAGTTTTTTTAAAATATTATTGGCTTTATTACAACTAGTAATTCATTCGTGCGATGCACACGAAAGTCTATTTTCATTATCTTCTACTCCGTAATATACAAAGCCAAAGAGAAGAAATGAACAATAATAAATTTCCGCCTAAACTTTTCGGGCACGGGTTGAGTATTCAAATCGGGTATCGAGTTGGGCAAAGAGGAAAATTCATCTGATTGGGCCAATGGATTTTGAATGGTTAAATTAGATTAGTTACTCTTTTTGGTACCCGTGAAAACATTAAAAATGGGTTCTGGGGTATGTATTTTGAGTGCCTCTCTTTCACTTTAATCAAAAATCTTTATTGCCTAACATATCCCATTGTAAAATCATCATTACTTTTTCCTAGGGAAAATATTCAAATTTTATGTTTATAAACAACAATTGCCCAATACAACCAATTCATTTTCATACCATTAAAGCTTATGAAAATTTCATCTTTCTCAATATGACTCTCAAATGTGTTATCTCAGGCCTGTTTACGAACGTTGGTGAGCTCAAAAATAACCCTAACAATATTGTTATCCATGTATGAGATATTTGTGTCTACCACGTTCAACCTTTTGGAAGAAATATTGAAATATTGGTGATATTATTTGTACAATAAAAAGTAGATCAAATAAATGAAAGTATAACTTTTTTGTTAGTTGTATTTTAAATATTGGTTATATTTTTTGTTATCTGAATTTGTTTTTTACACTTTTTGGGTTGTTTTTTTCTTTTGCAAGACGTAGTTTTCTCTTGATTTTCATAATGTAATACTACCTCCGTCCCATTGTCTTTGTCCAGTTTTGACTTTTGGAACTGTTCATCTAAGCACTTTGACTCATCAAATTCTCTCAATGTGTAAGCCTAAAAATAGTCATGTGTGATCTTTTTTGATTCGTCTTAACATATAGATTATTAATATATAATTTTTATAATTTTTTAATATACAAATTACAAGATAAAATGGATTAAAGAAGTGCATTGGATGATGTGCTAAAAGGTAAGTGGACAAAGACAGTGGGACGGAGGGAGTATTTCCCACTACATTCCATTATTATATTTTAAATTAAAATATTGATGTTTTCTTTATATAAATTTAGATTAAAAAACATTTTATGTAACTATTTTATTCATAGTGTTTTTAAATAGTTTAGAATATTGATGTTTCCTTATTTTATCTTGTAGATTAATGTACAAAAAAAATATTATTCATATTAAAAAGTCGAAGAAAAAAATACGTGTGGATCATAAAATACTCCACATTTATAGGGCAGAGGACTGGCTGAATAAGGATAAGGTTGGAGATTGACTTGCAGATCGAGAACCACACAATTCTCTCGCATACGTCGGGCTCAGCCACTGAACCCAATCAAAGAATGGTGGCGATTTCATCTCTCTCGCAGTTCCCTTGCAGACCCATCGCCGGGATTCGCCAGCCTCAGCTTTACACCCCAAACGCAGCCGTCTTTCCGTCGAAATCGACGGGGTTTCACTCGATGGTGGCTCCGGCTATGTCGTCTCCGAACAGGGGATTCGTGAGTCCGAAGGGTAAAGTCTTCTCCCGGGCATTTGGAGAAGACGCGTTCGGGGATGAGGAGGAGACTCCGGGTGGCGTGGCGGTGGCGGTGGCGGAAGACTAGCCGGAGCGGGCGGAAACAGAGACGAACAGGCAATAACTTCAGATCAGCTTCCCAGTTAATAGTGTCTTTTGGAGATGCAGGCAGATTTATATCCTGGAGATGGTCAGCATAAAATTCATTTTGAGTATATGCTTTAGTTCATTATGTCATGTAGTGTATGGTTCCTCATCTAAGCTTAGATTACTTTTTTTTTTAAAGTTCATGCTATGTGACAGGTGGATAAAACATGAAAATATTGTTTTGACAAGAGATGTAGCTACAAACACCTAGAGCGTTTGATGTTTGGAGAGCTCTTCAAGTAGAAACAGGAGCTGAATATCTTTTACTAATATACAAAGGTAGGGGGAAATATGAAGAGTGCGCTTTCCCGCACAACTTTATTGGATACGGTTTTTGATATGGTAAGAAGAAATCAGGTATGGATATATTAAATTGCTACTTTATGGAAAAGAGTGAATGAAATTACTTCTCTATGTGAAAGCATGATGATTTTGCACCAGAAAACAGGGTGGTTTCCCTAAGAGAGAAATTTTTTTGAATATAATTCTCAGGTGGAAAAGGTAAATTCTTGACATGGAAAATCGGCTTTTGACATTCCGGTTTTATTTTTAATTTTTTTTTTTATAGTTTTTTTCGGCTTTCTAAAAGCCATTTCAGTCTAATAATGGAGCTACAGTGTCGAGCTACACTCCCGCACAGTGCCGAGCTATAGTGCCGCGTGCGCAATGATTTCCCTCCCTCTTCTCCATTTCACACTCCAACCCCTCTCTATTTCTACACCTAATCCCTTCAACTACTACACCTCCCAATTCTACTACAAATAATCAAATCTTTTCTTTCTTTTTACACAAAATATATAATCTCTTCAACTACATCTCATATTCTTTCTCTTCTTTTCTCACTAAATATTCAAAATTTATCTATTCTTCCATAATCATCCAAGAAGTTGAGGTATGTTTTTTTAGAAAAATTCTTTATAAGTTTTTTAAAATATGTAATACATATTTTTTTTTAATTTTACAATATGTAATGCATATTTTTTTTTTAAATTTTACAATATGTAATGCATAATTTTTTTTAATTTTACAATGTGTAATGCATATTTTTTTAAATTTTACAATATGTAATGCATATTTTTTTAAACAAGATATTTTTTTAACCATTTTATTGTACTATGAGTAGACTGAAGTTCACTAGATTTTTTTTTGAAGCATAATGTATGACCCTGAGAGAGAAATAACGGGTCCTAAATCGAGAGACATTCTTACTTTACAAGCTACACATCGTTCGCGTGAAGTGTGGCATAACTCGGATTTTATAGACAACAAAGTCTCTCCGGCTCGCTACGAATGTAGTCTTCCAACAGTTTTTCATGATGATAGAGTTTATGAAATGTTGCACCGGTCAGGGTTTTATGGACTGCACCGTGTGCAACCTATCTAATTAGACCATGGTCTAATCACTTCTCTTGTTGAGCGTTGGAGACCGGAGTTACACGCATTTCAGTTTTCTTTCGGTGAGATGGGTATCACTCACAGGAAGTGGAGTGCTTACTAGGACTTCCGATTGATGGACTACCCGTCATGGGCTTTGATTTAAATATTGAACAACGGAATGTCTTATTTAGAGATGTTTTGATGTGGACCACCGAGGAAACCCATTTTGGTCATTTTGACCAATTCAAGATTGCCATTCTTTTTGAGGGACAAACCATTCAACCAAATAATGAATGACTGATCAGATGGTGGCTCAATATACCGCTAGTCTCATATATGCATATATTGGTGGTTTATTATTTCCAGATTCTTCGGGTATGTACGCACCAATTGATTTCGTGAGATACCTACGAGATTTTAATGAAACATCTACTTTTAGTTGGGGCTCTGCAGTTTTAGCGGATTAAATTTTTCGCTCTATAAGGCTGCGTTGAAGACTAACCCGCGAACACGTCTCGGGGGTTGTCTTCTTCTATTGCAATTATGGGCGTGGACTCAAATTTTGACCATAAGACCCATAGTGAATAATGTTCCGAACAATCCACACGGGCCTCCTCGCGAAGACGACCCATTTGGTGCACAGTATTAATTTACATTAATTTAGATTATCGAGGTTATAATTTTTTTCTCTTATTTTATTCAAGTTCCTATAAATTTATTATTATTCAAGTGGAGACAGACTAAGATGTACAGTGCCTCTGCTACGCAAAATGTACGCTACTTTAGGAATCAACTTGACTCCTTGCAGTTTCGAAACGTAAGATTAATATTCATCTTGGCAAAATGGCTTTTAGAAAGCCGATTTTCAATTTTTTTTTTTGTAAAAAACGGCTTTATCAAAGCCGATTTTCTCTCTCACGAAATGTATACTCAAAAACTTCTCTCTGCAGGAATTAATTCCAGAAAACATGTGATGGCAGCTTGGATATTGTAAAATTAACCCTTTCTTTAAATTGTTGCTTTATGGGAAAGAGTGTATGGAAAGTGTTCCTCCAACTTCAACTTCAAAGTTTGGGGGAAATATGGATTAGTCTCGACCTCGTCAGCATCAAACTCATCTTCGTCTCCATGCATTCCTTCATCTTCGTCTTCAACAAGCTCATCTTCGTTGTGGTCAACATTTTCTAATGCACCCCTTAGGTTGTCTTGAACCTCTGCAGCAACCGCTCCGGGAACTTTACCGAGTCGACGCTCCGCTTTCTTTATTGTATTCACCTGCTAAAAAAATCAGTTAGTGATGTATTTATTTTATTATAAGTAAATATTTATAATTTCTAAATTACCAAGAATGCAAGTTTGGCAGAAGTATTTTCAGATCCCTCTAGAGGTCGATGATAAGGGTTTCCAATAATACGCCGACCGTATGTTGCAAACCAGTGAGCATACTCCACAGTAATTTGGAATGGATTCTCTCCTACTACGGGCTCCATTTGATGAAAAACGGTAAGGGCGAAGCGATTATCCCTCCATTGCGCCATGCATGCTTGTACCAAATGGGTCGATTTACATCCCTTGGGTTTATGATAGGCCTCCGTATACGGATGGGTAAGACCAAGAATGGTTTGCAACATCCCAAACTGTCGTGTGAATCGCATAGGCATGACAGGCTCAATAATCGAACGATAAATAACATAGCCTTGGAAAGTCCATAATTGAGGACTACGACGACAATAAGCAGGCAATTGATCAATGTCGTACGGTTGCTAAAAAACCTGTATATTGTATACATTTATTAGTCAGTGCATGATCTATTTTTTACAAATTATTTTATGAATATTAATCTTATGTTTCAAAATTGCAAGGAGTCAAGTTGATTCCTAAAGTAGCGTACATTTTGTCTAGCAGAGGCACTGTATATCTTGGTCTGTCTCCACCTGAATTATAATAAATTTATAGGAACTTGAATAAAATAAGAGAAAAAAATTATAACCTCGATAATCTAAATTAATGTAAATGAATACTGTGCACCAAATGGGTCGTCTTCGCGGGAAGGCCCGTGTGGATTGTTCGGAACATTATTCACTATGGGTCTTATGGTCAAAATCCGAGTCCACACCCATAATTGCAATAGAAGAAAACAACCCTCGGGACGTGTTTGCGGGTTAGTCTTCAACGCAGCCTTATGGAGCGAAAAATTTAATCGCGCTAAAACTGCAGAGCCCCAACTAAAAGTAGATGCTTCATTACAATCTCGTAGGTATCTCACGAAATCAATTGGTGCGTACATACCCGAGGAATCTGGAAATAATAAACCACCATATATGCATATATGAGCGTAGCGGTATATTAAGCCACCATCTGATCAGGTCATTCATTATTTGGTTGAATGGTTTGTCCCTAAAAAAGAAGGGCAATCTTGAATTGCTCAAAACGACCAAAATGGGTGTCCTCAGTGGTCCACATCAAAACATCTTTAAATAAGACATTCCGTTGCTCAATATTTAAATCAAAGCCCATGACGGGTAGTCCATCAATCGGAAGTCCTAGTAAGCACTCCACTTCCTGTAGGGTGATACCCATCTCACCGAAACAAAATTGAAATGCGTGTAACTCCGGTCTCCAACGCTCAACAAGAGAAGTGATTAGACCATGGTCTAATTAGATAGGTTGCACACGGTGCAGTCCATAAAACCCTGACCGGTGCAACATTTCATAAACTCTATCATCATGAAAAACTGTTGGAAGACTACCTTCGTAGCGAGCCGGAGAGACTTTGTTATCTATAAAATTCGGGTTATGCCACACTTCACGCGAACGATGTGTAGCTTGTAAAGTAAGAATGCCTCTCGATCTAGGACCCGCTATTTCTCTCTCGGGGTCATACATTATGCTTCAAAAAAAAATCTAGTGAACTTCAGTCTACTCATAGTACAATAAAATGGTTAAAAAAATATCTTGTTTAAAAAAATATGTATTACATATTGTAAAATTAAAAAAAATATATGTATTACACATTGTAAAATTAAAAAAAAAATATGCATTATATATTGTAAAAATAAAAAAAATGCATTACATATTGTAAAATTAAAAAAAAAATATGTATTACATATTTAAAAAACTTATAAAGAATTAATCAGAAAAAAATATGATTATGGAAGAATAGATAAATTTTGAATATTTAGTAAGAAGAGAAAGAATATGAGATGTAGTCTAAGAGATTATGTATTTTGTGTAAAAAGAAGGAAAAAATTTGATTATTTGTAGTAGAATTAGGAGGGGTAGCAGTTGAAAGGGATTAGGTGTAGGAATAGGGAGGGTTTAGTGTGAAATGGAGAAGAGGGTCACTGCGCACGCGGCAACCCTAGGGCCAGCCCTTGTGCTTCCTTCATCGCTCAGCAACCCTAGGGCCAGGCCCTCTGCCATGTGATTGGGTATGCAAGTTTCCGCCTCCAAGGTTTTCACTTTACCTCCCCGCCTTTCCTTTTTGCGTCACTAAGAATCGAAAGAAGGAACAAGTGCATCTCAACTGACTACATGTAAGATCTATGTCCCCATTACCAAAGTCAATTTATCTTTCGGCTTGTTTTCTTTCTATACTCACCTCTTGCAAAAATTTAATCAAGAATCGGGATAAGCTCATTCGTGCATCTCATCTCTTTTATTCGGTAATCTTTCCCAATAATCTGAACATTTTCTATAATTCAAATTTTTTGTTTAACTTTGTCAAATCTGGGCTTCTCAAAACCATAGATAAGTTTTAATCCTTTGCATCAATTTATTCTATAAAAAATATAAATTAGGTGATATTTTAATTCCATCACCACCTTTTTTGTGTAGGGTCTTTTGAGGAAAGAGCTCTTTATCTGAAGAGAAAGTGATTCACGTAGGTATTCTTATTCTTTAGTTTTGTTATAAATTATTTAGATCTAATTGCACCAGTATATGTTTTTCTTCTAAATTGTTTTATCAATTTTGTTGACTACATATATAAAGTTGTACACACCATATATTGTTAAACATGTGAGGTTTGTCGATATATTGTGCTCTTTGTTCTTGATATATATTGTCTTTTGTTATTCCCTTTATAGTCAAAGAGTTGGGCATGTTTTTTGAGAAGATATTAGGTCATACCAATTTATAAATCGTTATTTAGCATACTTTGAACCTCACCTTCTTATAACTAAGAATTTCATGTGTGTGCGTTGAAGTGGTCTCTTGATGAGAGAGGTATTGCATCTGGTGACAACGGAAATCAGGTAAAACTCATGAGACTATAATTTTTAGTTTCATCATCATTTTTGTTGTTGAGGTGTCTTATGCGGCTTTTTTTCTGAAAAGAAAGTGATTAAGAAGTGCAATGTTATATTCATGTTTGATCTTCATTTACATCTCTTTGATCAATCATTTTCCATAGTTTGAATATCATATTAAGAGTCATTAATGCTAATCATTTTTGTTGTGGACCTTATTGTCTTTCCCGTGTCATTGAACTCATCTTACTTTTAATCATACATTAACAATGTTCTCACGCGAAGCTATAGTTCATCCTATGGAAAATAATCAATATCTAAGTTCTGCATTCCCTTATAATTTCAAAAATTATATTTCCAAATTTGTTTCATGTTAGAGAGGTAACTGTCGCAGGTATGATGCTCAAACTTTCTTTGTCTCTATCTGTGAGCTTTAAGCGGTATTTTATTCTTCTTGAACTTATTTTAGGGAAATGGGTGGGTACAAGTTAATTGTGATGTTATGTGAGTTAGAAGATTCTTTTTATAAGAACAATCAACATACATAGACCAAAAAGTATGTCCGAAGAATGGTATGGGTGCAAGTGAGTAAAATGCAGTTGGTTGTTGATAAATTATTCACTCTAAAAAGGAAAAAAACTGCTTGAATTATGTTCTTCAAAATTCATATATTAAAAGTATGAATTTTATTTCATACTTCTTTTTTTCTTATTTTGTTATCAAATTTTAGCAAAAAATAAACATTCATTGCATTGTTTTTTGTTGTGTTTGTCTTTTAAATTAAATGTGCACTGGCTCAAACAAGTACACGATATTTGCTGATATATTATTATCATTATTTATTCCTATTACAAGTTCTTCATTAGTGACTCCCCCTTGTAGTATGAAAATAATAGCATAAATTGTTATGAATTAGGCAAAAATATTTACCATCAAAGAGGTGAAGTGTTTGAATTGATACTGATGGCAGCATGACTCCAACAACAAATTCTCAAGCATTAGACCTTTGATTTTGCCTTTGAAAGGGCGGTAGAATGAGATAGACCCATGTACTTATATTTATTATAAAGAGAGAAAAATTATTAGCATTAGTTTAAGTACGCTTATGTAGTTATTAATTTAGAGACCATTTATGAATGTATTTGTTATCAAGTTGTTGATATTTAAAGATATTATCTCTTTTTACGTTCTTTACACTTCTACAATATTGCTTATTCTATCTTACACTTCACAATCTGCAGGTTAGCTTATTGAATTCCTGAGGTGGCGAGACGGCCGGTGGAGCTGGCAGAGGCAAAGCTTTCGAAAGACGGGTGGCCGGAATACTACGACGGGAAGCGGGGGAGGTTCGTGGGGAAGCAGGCGCGCAAGCACCTGACATGGTCCATTGCTGGGTACCTGGTAGCAAAGATGATGCTGGAAGACCCCACACATTTGGGGATGGTGGCCATGGAAGAAGAAAAGCGGTCCAAACCAGGTATTCATCAGATCCTCTTCCTTCTAATGAAAATCGCTTTCGCCCATTATTTCTAGATTCCCCTCTCCATGTTTAATTTTCTGGGGATTAATTCATATCAATTGCCAATTGTTTCACAGTAACATTTGTGTGACATTCTTTTGTTGTTGTTGATGCTTAATCTGATGAATATGGATGGTTTGTTTCTTCATCTGTTTACAGAAGCAATTAAAAAGGTTCCAAATATTCTTCTAATTATTTTCACAATTAAAGGTTCCAGATATTCTTCTTTAAATTAATACATTATCTCTTATCAGTTTTATGTTTATATCACCTATTTATTGTGAAGTTTATCCCATGAATAATTTCCATTTTTCGTTTGCAAGTGAAGACTAAATATGTTGTTTTGTCCTGCATTTATTGAAATAAGATGAAACCTCAACCATGAAGGTTCTTTCGACACCCTCAAGATATGGGTAATATTTTTCTCTTTCTCAGTTTTTCTCATTGCTTTCTTGAATCAATTGGTCTTTTTAGAAGCTTTTAATATATTATTTAAATGCTTTATTTGAAGTTTGAATGAAACTATTAAGACATTAATAGTTCTATAATATACTTGGATGTCAATTGAGAGTTTTCAGTTGCTAGGAGCATTTTCTTAATTACATATGCATCTTTATCAATGATTTTTCCCAATAATGCATTTCAAAACAAACCACATGAAGGTATGCTCTATATTTGCCAACTATTTTAATATATCAAGACCCATTGTGATGACAGGTTGTTCCTACATTCTGTCACTATTTTGATACATCAACACCCATAAGAACGTATTGGGATTTTAGTGTTTTTTTAGGTTTGAGTTTGGCCATTAATGAGTTCTTAATTAAACTACTCCAACAAATTTGACCATATCGTCCTACTAAAAAAAGCTCCATTTTTCTTCCAAGGAATGACTCATCTGCATAAAGGTTTTGGAATTTTCAGTGATGTTTCAGAGAAACAAGTCCTTAACAAAGGAGGAAGTGGATGGGTATTGGAGATTAAAGAAGAAGCAGGAGGATGAGAAGAAAGAGCAGTGCCCAAGATCAAATACCACTGGTAGTGCCCAGATGAAGGACATTCTTCTTGACAGAAGTGAAACCAATTCTTTGGAGAAACTGATCCACACACATGGCTGGTGATTAATATTTACTCTCCTATACACTTTGGGCTATATTTACTGTCATTCTTTTAAGTGACATGGATACATTTGTGTGTGGGTGGGTAAGTAGCAATTGGGCACATCTAAACGAACTACCCCCGGAGGAGCGAGATTACAAGTACATTTTGCAGTTTCATGTGGCAAACAGGACAGCCAACGACGACTCAAATCGCCACAATTATCATGTCGGAATCAGCCACCCATGAAACCACACCACCGCCGTGGCGCCGCCACCTTCTTTTGTAGACCACCAATAGCACACCTATATTTTCTTACCAAGAAATATTTTTTTGGTACAAACTAAGATATATATTTATGAAATAATGTACTTATTGCTTATTTCCAAATATTAGTAAATAAATTATTGATTGAATTTCTTACCGTGCATCGCACGGGTACAGATCTAGTAATTTATAAGCTATAGTTATGAAAATAATAGATGTAATAATAATAATAATAATAATAATAATAATAATAATAATAATAATAATAATAATAATAATATATCGTTTTTAGAATAATTGATCGGGAAGTAGGAGTTTGAAAAAAATAAAAATAGTTGGAAGAAACTAGAAGGGACTAAAAAATTTGGAAGAAACTAGAAAGAACTGGAAAAACCTGGATGTTAAGAGTTTAAGTCTTAAAGAACAAGCTCTTAGTCATATTTAGAGTGATTTTTAAAAAAGTTATGCACAAAATAGGTAGAATATCAAAAAAATAAAGATTTTGATAATAAAATACTCCGTAATATATAAGGAGTGGCTTAGGATTTACGCAGCAAGCTCTTTATCCTTCCTTTCCTTTTGTCCGCCGCCCCCACCACCATGCTTAATCTTCTCTTCTTCTATCGAGAGACACAGCCGCAGAGAGGACGACGGAGCTCCAGATCGCGAGACGGCAACGGCTAACAAATCCGGCAGAGCTGCTCTCAGTGCCGGCGATCTCCCTCTCATGCTCCTCCTCTTCCGAAGACGCTCTTAGCCGACCACAGCTAACAAATCAGGCGGGGCTGTTCTCTGCTCCGTCGAACGGCCTCCAGCAGCGGTGAAGTTGTTCCGGCAACTTCTCCATCTATTTCCGGCGATCTACAAAGATGGCGGGAATAACCCAGCGACTTTCGGCGACCCCCCTCGCTGTTCCCAGACGATTTGGGGTTGTGTGACTTAGCAAAAGTACGCTTCCTCCCTACCCCGGGGACGACCGACGTTAACAACAGCAGCAACCATTTGTTGTGCTGCAATGACCACGAGATGGGGCAACGCCCGATCCTCCCGATCCTCTTCTCCCACTGACGAACCAGGTGGCGACTACAATTCAATCATCCCTCTATGATCTGTTTACTTATCAACCAACTGGTATATATGACTTTCAGTACTGCAATTCATTGGTTCATTGATTGTTTGCATATTTATTGTCTCCTTTCTCTTATCAGTCCAAAAAATGTCTTTCACATTATATGAAAAGTAGGAACTTTATTGGTGTCTGCTTTGACAAGCTTATTTAAACATTGTTCATCAAAGATTGTTTTGTTCATACATTTGATCTTGTGAGCATAAAAACCTATTGTCATGGTTTTTATCTAGTCTAGAATTGATAACAAATTGTACATGCTCAATGTTTTATTTAGTTTTGCAAAAAACAAGATGAAAGGTTATTACTCTATCATTTATATTTCCATCATCTCCGATGTAGTTAAAGATTCACTATTATTTGTTTTAGGGTATGATCAAATATAGCAAAATATGTAGTTCTTTATTTTCTTTCTACTTTTCTTTCAGGTGTTGACTTGATGCAACTTCTCAAACTTTCTTTATCCATCCTTTGAATGGAAGAATGTGGTAATGAAACTCTACCTTGCAAAATGGCACCTTCCCGATCTCTCTCTTTCCTTTTCATAAATTGTAAGACCTTGATTTGAGGTAATGATCTCATATTGGCATTAAAACCACAATCATTTTTTATAAGATAACTGGTTTTCGCTTTGTGATGTGCAAGACAGATAGGCAAATTAGATGTGATCTAAATGGTAAGAAATTCTGGACTTGCAATCATAAAATATATCTTATCATGAGGACGGCACCTCCGGTAGTTGACAGGATCCACCTGTTATACCTCGGAACGGGTAACAGATTAGATCTAACCATGAAAACGAGCTGGTACGCATAGAGGTCTCCTGAGTTATCATTTCTGAGAGCTTGAATGAGGATCGCAGAAGTAAAATTGTGAACATGTTGGATCGACTCAACCATCTCCAAGCCCATTGCAGACGTAAACTCTAGCGCATTTCAAGGTCTCTTCAAATTTTGCTCTGCATTTAATGGGAAAAGTGAAAAATAGTTAACCCTAGGAATGATATGCAATGAGCTTAAGGAGATAAATGATGAACTTACTAATCCCATAAAGTTTCCATCTGATGCGAAGCTCAGAAATCGTCTAGAAATTCTGGACTTACTTCATCTCCAGAGACATTCTCATCTTTCCGTTGATCTCAGGGACCAGAAAAGCATCGGACTTAGAAAATTCGTAGTAATCATAGAATGAAAACGCTAGAGGATATGTGGCAAACTCAACGAGGAAAGCTTTTCGAGATAAACTAACCAATCACTTTTTGACAGTTGGAATTTCTCGAAAAATCTTTGTTAGTATAGTTCGCTATGTATCCTCCGAGGTTTCCATTTTACGATTACTATGACTTTTTATGTTGATGCTTTTCTAGTCACTTAGATCAACAGAAAGACGAGAAGGCAGCACGAGATGAAGATGCTCAACATTCTATGATTTCAGGATAATTTTTTAGCTTAGTATAGGATGGACATTTTATTAGAAGAGATGAGTAAGTTCATCCTTTATCTTCTTAAGCTTATCGCATACCATTTGTAGGGCTAACCATTTTCTCGTTGGATTTAGAGCTAGATTTGAGTCGATCTAACGCATTCTCAACTTTTCAGTTGTGGTCCTCATTCCAACTCTCAGAGATTATAACACAATAGACCTCTACGCCTTCCAGCTCTGCTTCATGGACGGATTCAATCTTTACCGCTTTCGGGGTATAACAAGAAAAGCTTGAATGGGGACCGCGACAGGAAAGTTGAGAACGTGTTGGATACTTGGATTGACTCAATAATCTCCAAGCCCGTTGTGGAGGCAAACTCTAGCGCATTTAAAGCCCTCTTCAAATCTTGTTCTGCATCTAACAGGAAAAGTGGAAAACAGTTAACCCTACAAATGATATGCGATAAGTTTAAGAAGATAAAGGATGAACTTACTCATCTCGTCTTATAAAGTGTCCATCCTATACTAGGCTCGAAAATCGTCTTGAAATCATGGAATGTCTAGCATCTTCATCTCGTGCTGCCTTCCCATCTTTCCATTGATCTCAGAGACTAGAAAAGCATCAGACTTGAAAAAGTCGTAGTAATTATAGAATGAAAACATTGGAGGATATGTGGCAAACTTAGCGAGGAAAGCTTTTCAAGATAAACTAAGCAATCACTTTTTGAACAACCATCCGAGGAGGAGGAACGTACCAGAGGCAAATCCGCAGCCTAAATTTCCCAAGAAATCTTTGCTAGTTGAGTTTGATAACTAGCAAAGGTTTCTCGGGAAATTCAGGCTGCCAATCCGCCTTTGGTACGTTCCTCCTCGGTTGGTTGTCCAAAAAGTGATTGGTTAGTTTATCTCGAAAAGCTTTCCTCGCTGAGTTTGTCACATATTCTCCCACGTTTTCACTCTATGATTACTACGATTTTTCCAAGTGTGATGCTTTCCTAGTCTCTTAGATCAACGGAAAGATGAGAAGGCCACAGAAGATGAAGATGCCTGTCATTGCATAATTTCTAGACGGTTTTCGAGCTTAGTGTAAGATGAACACTTTATGCGACCAGATGAGTAAGTTCATCATTTATCTCCTTAAGCTCATCGCATATCATTCGTAGGGTTAACTGTTTTCTCGTTGGATCCAGAGCTAGATTTAAAGAGGCCTTTAAATGCGCTATGGTTTGCTTTCGCAACGGGCTTGGAGATGGTTGAATCGATTCAACGCGTTCTCAACTTTTTTGTTGCGGTCGCATTCAAACTAATGTGGATTATAACACAAGAGACTGCTACACTTTTCAGCTCTACTTCATGGTCGGATCCAATTTGTTATATGTTTTGGAGTATAACGGGATGGATCCTAACAACAACCGGAGGTGTCCTTCTCGTGATGAGCTGATCTATTATTGATGTGGAGGTCACTATTGTCAGCTTAACATGATTTTGATGGAGAGAACTTCTGGGACTTGCAAGAGGTTATTACCTTACCTTGAGACTATTACAATATCTGGCTATGTAAAGGAGCCTTATGCGATCCAAATGATAAAGTTTCTGCTGATGACTGCTACAAATTAGGGAAACATGTGGTTAAACCCAGTAATGCAAAGCAACAGCTCACTTCAGAGGAACTGGAAGAACTCCCACAGATGTTCAGATCATCACTTTCCAGAGCCTATCTTGTGTCAAGTATTTGTTTCTCGTAGTAATAGGAGAGATTAGAGGACAGTGGCATCTTTTGCAATATTTTCTATTGGGTTGAATTCCATCTGCAAGCCCATGTCTCCCTTTTGTTATCACACTTTCGTATATAGTAGTAGACGTTAGTGATCTCTTAGTTTTGAAACGGTTAACTTGTGTTGGGCACACTTGTAGAAATAGATTTGGTTTAGAAATGACATCTTCTCTTGTTTGTCATCTAGAATGGCGCCATTTGTTTTGGCACTTTTACAAATTCTTAGAATATAATGTCTTAGAACTGAAGAATGTATATGAAAAATTCTCTATTAGAATGAAGACTTTTTATGGAATTTTACGCTTTCAATTTTTAAATAACTACTCTGTAATACACTTTTTAGTTTAACACTATGGCTGTGATGTCATACTCCGTATAAAATATTTTAATAAAATTAAAATATACAAACATTTGCAGAGCCTACTCTAAAGTTTTAGGGGGTGTTTGTTTTTTCTGCAGGAAAAGGTCTGTAGTCTGCGTACCACTACTGTAGACATCTGCAGGAGAAGTGGTGGACCGAAGGTTTGCGGTCTGCAAGAAGAAGATTGTTTGTTTTTTAATGTCTGTAGACTGCTATATAAATTAATGGTAGTAGTGTTAGGTGGTGGTGTATGGACGATTGTGGTGGTGGTGGAGGGTGGTGGTGAAGGGTGGTGGTGGTGAAGAGAAGTAGAAGAAAAATAATGGAGAAGATGTTAGAAGACATAGGTTAATGTCTTCTCTAAGAAGATGCCAGGAAGACCTTTTTGAGTGAAATGTCTTCCAAAAAACAAATAATCTGCAGAGCTCAGCATCTGCGCGCGTCTGCGCGGCGCAGACAAAAGAGGCCAGAAGCTCTTCTTGCCAAAAAACAAACACTCCCTAAGCAATTTTCATCTTGGTTTGTTATTTTTCATTCATTTTAATGTTTGTTCATTCCATCAATCATTATTACCGAGTAATAAATTAAATATAAAAAGTCCTTTTAGTGGAGTACAAATGTACAATTGTATTATGAAATTGTGAAAGTATATCCTTCAAGCATAATACGGAGTAACAATTATATTGCTCATTCTTCCCAAATTAAATTGTTAGTTTATTATTCACCTGATCAAATTTCATTCACTTTCTTTTTTTATTTTCGTTGGTCATCCAATAAAATTACATAGTTATGTTACCATTAGTTTTGTAGATATTTTGATATAATTTTAAAATATGTAATTTTCATTTGTTAACTTTTCACCAATTTTTATATAAAATAATTTGAAAAAAAATTCAAAAAAAAATCGTAAACCAAAACATGCAATGGGACAGATTGAGCATATCCACAATATCTCATCGAGTAAAAACAAAAAAACAATTCATGTACAAACATAATATCATCAAGTAACTTAGGTTGCGTTCCTTTCACCTGATCTGATTTTTTAAAGACCTGATTTGGTCTAATTTGATTATAATTATAATTAAAATTATTTCTGATTTGATTATAATAGAAATAAGTAATAAGCAAAAAAATAAGTTGAACACAATGTAGCCTTACTTAAAGTCCATCATGGACCTATATATGAACAAAATAACCATTTCCTTATTACTTAAATAAGCATTTTTTTTTAATTAAAAAAATAAAAAAATGAAAGAAGGTCCATAAAAATGGTATGCACCAAAAATTCACCCTAGAAGCACTCATAAATCATATGGAGTACGGAGTATTATAACTTTCACTATTTGTCGGGTATTTTCACGAAAACCAGGTACCATGAGTAATGGTTCAAGGTTTTTTTTTGGAACCTTGGTTCAAAGATTTTAGAAGGAAAAAACCTGTTAATGGGAGCAATCAACATTGAAGCAAACTGCACAAGGTTAATACATCTGATGAATAAATACAGTTAAATAATTAAAATGTGTTTTCCAGAGAGTGTGCTACCAAGGACAAGATGATTTCAATAACTAACTATTACAACCCACCAGTTTATCGTAGCGGCAGCTCTAACTTCGTTTATGGAAGAAAGCAGTGTGCATAACCTGACTGGAATAACCCATTTGCATTATAGAATGCAGAGCAACTGACCAAATTAAAGGCTTTGGAAACCCATCAGCAATCTGGGTCCATACGTTTCTGAAAATCATCCCACAGGACCATGTTCAGAAGATAGTTAGGAATTTGTATATCTTGCTTGGCGATCAACCCCACACTGAAGATATATGGGATTGACTCCTTAAAGATAAAATATGATATTGAAATAAGATGTATAATCACCTAAACCAGAGAGTCATTCCACACATGATGCTCGAACAGAAGGTGACTCGCTCTGAAAGTTCTCAAGTTTGTGTATAAATATCTGTGGAGGCTCTTCACTGTCACGAAAGTGGCAGGTGTTTGATTAGCTAGAAATTGATAGCCCAAAAGGAAAAGAGACACCTAATTAGGCAGTTCGAGAGTGGTTTATTGTTAAATGCTTTTTTAAAAGAATATTTTCATTTACAGAATCACAGCTCACACTTGGCGAAGGTTTGACAAAAGAGGATTAAAGCAGAAGCAGCACGGGAAGGTATTATAAGATCAGGTGCCTAACCTTTCATTAGCTTCTTGGTAGGTATGGCTCGATGCAACTGCTAAAAGCAACCCATCATGATTGTATGACAAAGAAGCAATGCTGTTTGGATGTCTAGGAAGCTGAACATGCATTAGGGTTAAGGAATGTGTGAGGATACATACTGATTAACTTTAATCCACCAGACATGAAAGTGGGTCGTGAATATATCGAAGATAATAAAATGTAGATTGTAAATAATGAGAGAGAAAAAGCTTCAAGAACACGTATATTCAGAGTTTGATCGATCCCTTCCCCAAGCTTGGAGAAGGTGTATTTATAGAGTTCCAAGAGTATGTTAGGCTGTTAGCCTTATTAATCCTTTTTCTGTGGAGAGAATAGCGGATTGTGCCTACTTTCCAAGTGGGGTGCCTCCCTAAATTACCTAGCCTCTACCCATTACTTTTCAACTGGGTTGAACCTCATTAACGAGTGGGGTACTGAGTATATATTGGGCCTAACCAAGAAAGGTGCAAATCAAAAAGTGTAACAAATGCAGATGTAAACAATGGGTTTACTTAGCTTTGGAACACTAAGTAGCAAATCTTTTCCCTTTTGCGGTCTAGAAGAGATGCATAAGAATTTTTATAGTATAGCAATCTCATTGCAATAAAGAAGAAAAAGCAGAAAAAATAAAAAAACATTGCTGGAAATTTTAAATTCCCAAAAATATGTATACTCCCTTGCCCCAGAAAAAAGTATACAATTTCAAAGAAAGATGTTAATTTTCAATATATAATTTATATCCAACGTTTTTAGACGAAAACATATGCCAAACAACTTAAATATGCTAAATTTAGGCCAACAAACGAAAAAAATGTAGTTACATTTGATTATTTCTACAAGATGCACCTTACTAGATTTTTTAAAAACTGCAACCTTTGTGAAATATGACTCTTTGTAACGGGAGGGCAGGAGTATAATATATTACTCGGGAATGCTTATTTGAAGACAAATAGTACAATCCACTAGTTGAACTTGGCCATTTCCACTTTGGAGGAAGAATGGAAGTACATCTAATCTAGTGTAATCAAAGAGGGTACCTCACGTAGTCGCTTTTTGTGCCAAGCATCCCACATAATTACAAATCCATCATTATCACCAGTTACAAATGAGCCACTGTTTCTGAAAGGATGAAAAGAGTGCGTAATCAATTTAACTTCCTATATTCTGCAATAACAGTGGATAATAAAAGAAACCTACAATGGACTAAATGCAATGTCATTCACTGCCACCACATGTTGTCTTCCATCTTTTTTCTTTGGAAAGCACCGGAAGGCATATCTGCAAAACAAAAATAAGAATGGAAGCTATATTTTGTTTGTTATCCATTTAACATTAGGATAACCTGGAACCATTTTAACACCACGACCACCTCTCTCCACCCCTAAATAAATAAAGTTGTGGAATGTAAATAGGTTTGGACAATGACCCTTTACTAACCCCTTATCCAAATTGGATTCACAGATATACTCCAAAGCAACACGTCCATCCACCGATCCGACCACAAACCCTGCATCATTGGAGTACTCAACTTAATACTTGAAAAAGCAACACTTACCTTTAAAAGGTCATACATAAACTGGATTTCACTTGAATTATCCACTATATGTCAATGGTAATCAAAAGGTCATAAAAAATTGAAAACAATGACTTTGTGGTTAGTTGAGTACATTTCTCGTGGAAGTGGTGATCAGAAATGTTCAAGTCAACTGGATGTGCCAATATTTTTTGTAACACTACAAAATTAAGATGTACAATTGTACATGATAAACTTTGATAGTCAAACAAACCTACAATTGTGCAACACATATAACTATAAAAATAGTGTTGACTTGAGCACAGCTAGCCTGAATGCCTGAGACTAACAAGTACCGACCCAACCATCTTTGTGACTAGTCATTCTCTACTTTGTATGCCTACATTGGTAGATGACATATATGTCCAGGCTATATTGGAATGTTGCCACAATACCTTCAGAATGAAGAATAGTGCGGACACATTTTATTTGAACATCTTTTCTGTGAACCAGTTTCCTAAGGGTACGAATGTCAAAAATGATTACTGAGGATTCAATAGCAACCATCAAACTGGACCCAGAGAGTGTCATAGACTCTGCCATTGATGTTAGATTGTTCAATAATCCAACAGACTTTGCCGACCGTGCATCCCAAAAGATTATGTTCTTATCCCAACCAGAAGTAATTAGCTGACCTGCATGAAGCAAGGGAGAAGCTTACCAAAACATTGAAAACATAAATTTGTCATGCAAGCAAGCAAAGTTCCCCCCACACCTCCTCGCCAAGGTTACTAAATCAATTGTAGCTCTGGCTATTGTGTATTTACGATAATCACATACACACACGAGGGCAGGTGGTACCGATACTAGAATATCTTAGCACTGTGAAACTCATTTGCTGTAATGTCTTACTTGATTCGGGAGAAAACTCGACAAAAGTTGCCATATCATCATGTTTCCCTATTGCGGATTTATGACCTGAGTGCATATCATACCTAGCAATTTTCCATCAGAGAAAAACACGATCTTTAAATCATTTCCATCACTAAACAAAATACAAATTGAATTACCAATTGCAAAAAAGATTGTTCATTGTGTTTTTCTACACTTCATATTTACTCGTGGTGTTTGACATTACATTTTGATCCGACTTCTGTCTTGTGCAGATTGCAAGCGGGTGGTCGGAGAGTTTGCAAAAGCACACAAAAATTATTCCAGCTTATTTACGCCGCAAATTACTTTTTCAAATGTTGTTATGCAGGAGATCAAAATTGTAGTTTTTCAGAAAGGGCGTCCAACATTGAGATTTTTAGGACCCGCATTCCGTAGAAGCAATGTCAAGAATCCCAATACTCTACAACGTGAGAACGTTTCGGAGATGAGCATGAGCAACTGAAAATAACTGGAATAAAAAACCTGTGAATAGAACCATCAGAAGCAGCACTGAAAGCCACAGACTCGCTTTCAAGACAGCAATCGAGGAGTGCGGCTTCCCCTGGGGACTCTAATATTAGCTTTGAGCGTTGAATGTCGTATAATCGAAGACTCTGCAGGCATTAGAGCCATCAAATCCTAAGCACAACCGAATTGCATCATCCCACAAATGCACCCCGCAAATATTCAATGGAGTGATGAGCATTACTTACTCTGTCCCAGGAAGAAATGAGAAGATTGTTGGAATGCAGGGAGAATCGGATCCTGGAAATGGCGTCTCGGATCGGGTTTTTGAATCTTAAAGGATTCGCGTCCATGGCTGCTCGTAACTATCAGGCAATCCTAAGTGGATTGAGTTTGAACCCTACATTTGGGCAGGGAAGAAATCATTTGAAAATTTCCCCGCCGCCCACAGGGACGACTAGGCTCAAAGTCTACAAAAATCAATGAAATTGTAAAGAAGAATGCTAGGGTACACTAAAGGGTGTACTCCAAATATCCTCATCCCCTCCTTATCCACTAAAAAAAGCAAAAAAATTCAAAAAAAATAAGTAAATAAAAATCAAATAAAAATGTGTGGATGAAAAGAGGTTGGTGTACATTTGGGGTACACCTTTTGGTGTACCCCTAGCATTACTCAATTTTAAAAGATGAATCTCCTAGGCCGGATCTCTAAATTTTATGCTTCTTTACGTTCAAAAATTTAAAAAAATTGGTCAAAAAAATTTATACTCCGTAAGTAATTATTAATTTATAAATTAGCTAATGATATGTTTCTGTGTGCTAATAAATTTACTTATAAACTGCTTATAATTTTAAAAAAATAAATATGTCTTAGCTACTTACTTTTAAGTCAATTTTTTCTTATATTTACAAAATTTTCCTCATCATTAATGAATATTTACAAATGATTTATCTATCACTTAAGTCATTTTACTTTCACAAGGATGACTAGGGTCAAATTCTACAAAAATCAATGATATTTTAAAGGGAAATGATATTTGTACTAAAAAAATGTGTCTCACTTTGTATCTCAAAGGCATGCATTAATATTTTGTGCTAGTGTGATATTTTAAATTTGTATCCCACTTTACAACCCGAAGGCATGCACCAACATTTTGAGTAAATGAATATTCATTCTCAAGTCATAAAATACTCATTTTCGAGTAACCGAATACTTATATACGAGTATAACTGAAACTTAGAAAAAGAAATATTCAATTACTTGAAAATAAATATTCGATTGCTCAAAAATGGGTATTGAGATACTCAAAAATGAGTATTCAATTGCTTATTAATGAGAACTCACCACGGATGTATGAGAAATATCATACAACCGATTGTATGACATATATTGCACTTTACTAGGTGTCTAAGTTTGAAGCTTGATGAGTGCGATAAAGAATAACTATGCAAAGCCTGAATTTGAAGAAAATAACATTATATAGAAATTTTTAAAAATATCTACCATCATATATAGTATTGTCTAGTTTCTTGAATAATGATGAGAACATAATAAATATTGTCTAGTTTCTTGAATTAATGATGAGAATAAAATAAAGATTGGATAGTTTTAAAAAATTATACTCCGTATATAATGTTACTTTCTTGAATTAATAATGATTGTTTAATTTTTCAAATATTTATATACTCATGCATCTGTATTTAATATTTTAACGAGTGTAGCTATTATTGTTTTAATGTCACATTTGATTACGAAAGAAATAGTAAATTGATGAAATGTTAAGTGTTCAACTCATTTGATTACATGAAGTCTTTAGTCTCTTAGATGTTGTTTGGAATTAATTTTGCTTTTGAAAAAGTGTTTATTTTAAATATTCAATTCAAAAGCAAAGATGTTTCAACTTTGCCTCTTCAAATTTGAAAATAAAAAAATGTAGAAAACACAAAATTAATATAATATATAAATCTGTCATTTGTATATTTTAATTTTTACTTTCTAATTGTTTCAACTTTTTTTTTATTGAGTGTAAAAATGACAATTTTTCCTATTTTGTGGCATTTATATTTGTGTTTCTAGAAAATACAAAATAAAACAGTCAACAATTAAACAGCTGAGAATCTCTTTTTAGAAGCACTACCAAACAACATCTCAATACTCTTGAAAAGCTCCACCGTCTCGGGCAACCCTAGCTTTCTCGAGTTCCCAAAACGTATGAGGGAGCCATTAATTCGTCCCCAAAAGCTCGCAGAGAGATAATTTGAGAATATAAACATGGCAGTATCGGGAGATTTCCGGGTCTCGGCGGCTTTGGGCCCATCTCCGAACAACTCCATCAGGAGCTCAAAGCATTTTCGTCTCCCTTCTAAGGTTTTTTTCGACTGTTAATCCAAATCTCTTACTTGTTTCTGGTTATTGTGTTATCTTCTCTCAATCAATTTTCTTATTCATTCTTCGTTAGCCATTGTCTTAATAGTTCGAGCTCTCATACTTATCCACTCCATTGATTATGTAGAGAATCAAGTACCCTTTTTTTATCTCCTTAACTTGCACCTAATTGTAATGTAATGTTCATTTATTAATACGAAATCATGTGCTAAAATCAATAAAAGAGCATAAAATTTTAAGGGGAAAAAATATAAATCGTACACCCGGTTGTACCTAGAGCTAAATACATCGGTGAATGTTCATTTTTAAATTAACTCAATGTTCATTTTGAATCAATAGAATATTCATTTTCAACTGTAGTGTTCATTTTGAAGTCGGCTCAGCATAATGTTCATTCTGAAACAAGTATTGTTCATTCTAAAACATGTTCATTTTGAAACAACATTTTAATTACAAGTTTGCCATGATGTACTAAGAAGAAAAATACATCCGGTTGTACTGTTTACTTAATGTGTATATGTGATGGGAAAAAATGGCATTCTACTGTTCTTGGGGTTAAGGAGAAACCCCATGGCATCAACAGGAACGAAAAGTGATGATCCAGAAGTCCACTGGTATTACTGTTTATCAGTAACGATTTAGAATATAAATAGTGAAAGACAATATGAGCTCGAATCACTGTATTGCGTGTAGACTGTTGATAGCTTGTGAAGGCTTATAATTGCATTTCTTCCCTGTTGACCGAGGGGATGTATTTATAGTTACCAGAGCCACTTTTGTACACGGCATGTGTCAGACACATTCCCTTTTGTGGGTTCGTGGCCGATCGTGCACTGTAGCTTACAAGATTTATGTTTTTACATTTAAGATTTGACCATCTATGGAGCAATCCTGCATCGTCAGTCATGACCCTGGAGCACTGACCTAGCCCTTAGCCCCTTACTAAATGAGTTTATAGTGAAGTTCATTTGTACTAGTCCTAAATCACACTAGTCTTATTGAAACCAGTCTAAAATCTTACTGATCCCAATTTCAGCAACTCTACAAGGCCTAAGTTTAGAACTTTTGCCAAACCAAGTCAAACCCAGCATGTCCCAAACATATTCCCTTCAGTACTACACTAGTACTTTGACCTTTGAGAAATATTGCATACTTCCACACAGGTACACCTTGGTGTCTTTGTAAATGGCAGTCCTACTGCATCTGAGCTCGTGCTTAGAGGGTCACAAGCCTCAGGTATTGGTCACAGCGTGCCATGCCACTCCAGAAGAATACTTGGAAGCCTCGGGGATCACAAACTATCCTCAAATTTCATGAGCCAAGAGTTCAACAGCTTCCTTTTTAATGCAACCAATATGGGCTTTTTCGAGCGCATCAGCTTGGCTTGGAAGATAATGTTTCCACCATCACCATCATCAGCAAGGAGTTCGAATAGAAACATTGCGAAGCAGCGGATGAAGATGATACTCTTCTCCGATCGGTGTGCTGTGAGTGATGAGGCCAAGCAGAAGATAGTGAGCAACATCGTGAGCGTTCTCTCTGATTTCGTGGAGATAGAATCACAGGATAAAGTTCATCTCAGTGTTTCAACTGATCCAGACCTTGGGACCATCTACTCTGTCTCGGTGCCAGTTCGGCGCGTGCGATCAGAGTACCAAGCAGAGGATCCAAGTGGGATGATCACAAATATTGAGTACAAAGATACTGGAGAAAAGTCTGGGTCTGTTGATGTCAAGTTTGATTTCTACATTCCGAATGAGGATTGAGTTGGTTTACTCTTCTCTGATTGGTTAACTTGTTTTTCAATGCGCTTTCTTTTCTTTTTTTCGTTTATCCTTTTTAGCATACAATAGCTATTTCTGTCATTGTGTTTCTTTTTTTCATCTTTGTGAGGATGAATCATTGAGGCTTGTACAGCAAAAACATTTGTTTAAATAGTAGGATTTGAGTACTCCCTTCGTTCTATTATCTAACTATTTGGTTGATTGTTTAATGTATTCAAATAAAAAATGAAGGGGGACATGCACAATCTCTATATTCATTTCCTAGTATTTTAGTCCATGCTAAGTATGTGTGGAACAAAATTGTTTTTGTATCTAGGAAAAATTATCTAAAATAATTCTATCTTTGATCGGTCTAAAAATAATCCTACTTATCAATGTGGTGCATAAACCAATCTTTGATAGTGTGTGAGTTTTTGATTGATGTTAGGATCCTAATGGTTGGCCAACGGTTCTGAATAGTAAATACTTATTTTGCTTAGCTAAATGAAATGTGAGATTATTTCAGGTAATTGTTTTTTAAAATCACTTTTTTAAACTTTAAAATTTGAAACTATATTTTTAAAAATAGAATGGTACACTCTTGTTAGAGACTTGTAGTTAATTGTCAAAAAATATGTATTAGCATTTCGGATGGGAAAATTTGTAGAAAATTACTCGCGGGTGACGCGAATTTTGTCGAAATAACTTTCAGGTCTCTCTATTTTCAAAAAGACAACTGAGGTCCTTATATTTTGCTGTAATGACTAAGAGGGAACATTTCATCCAATACATCACCCGTAAGTGTTAATAAATGTATTTTTTTCCTATTTTTCCAATACCGTTTTTTCCTATTCTGCCATTACCTTGTTTTTCTTTTTTTAAAATTTTTTTTATTTCATTTGTTTTAATATAATACAAACAATTTTGAATTTTTATACGATTTTATAGAAGAAATTCTAAAATAACACTTTAAAAAATAGTAACAAAATGAAAGAAAAACAAAGAAATAAAAAAAGGAGCGATCTAAGATTTATGGCCTTAAAACATTTAGAAAAGAATAGGAAAAAAATACATTTATTAACGTTTATAGATGAAATATTGGATGAAATGTTCCTTTTCAGTCATTACAACAAAATGTAAGGACTTCTGCTGTCTTTTTGAAAATACTATACTTTAATATTTATTGGAAAGTACTCTGAAATAATATACTTTAAATTTTTGATGTCTCTGAATTTGAAAAGAATAAATTCATAATTCGTTCTTTATAACATGCGATTTTTCGGATTTAATAATCTATTATCAAATATTACACCCGTTCTCTTTCTGTTATAGGTAGTTTTTAGCAAATAGTCATTCTTTTGACCATTTGGCATATTGGTGTTAATTTAAGAGTTAAAAGTATAATTTAACATTAACCTTAAAAAATAACCTTAAATACGACTAAAACATAGAAAAATTACAAAAATAGAAGTTCTATGTGTTTATTTCCTAAATAGGAGTTCGTATTGTGGTGATGTGACACTGTACATTTGCATTTTACGTGATGTACATGGTCATAATTGGTAATGTAAATGCATTTTAACTATTGTTTTGATAAAAAAAATATGAAACTCCTA